GTTCAAGCGCTGTTGTCCTCTCACATTCTCCAAGGCGCCGAATTTGCCCAGGACCTCCTTCCTCTCCTGCCGAGGAACGGGCTTTGCGCAGCACAGCTCGTCTCTGCAGAGGTTGTGGACTATGGACCATGTCCAATGAAACTGGGCCCCAGCAAAATGAAACTGGCGCAAAAACTGACCCATTTGAAGTTTAATTACCGGGGAAAACCGCTTTGTTTATCAAGTTTGGGACACAATCAAATGGTGTACATAGGGGGGGGGGGGGCGCAAAATGGGCTTTGGTTTTCCTTTCCCTGAACAGACCCGCACAAGGGGACCTTCAAGCTGACGCATCTCTCCTGCTTGATGCCACTGGTGATCAGCGCGGCGCCCTGACAAAGGACGTGCACGGCGCCGCGAGAAAATCCGCTGCCTGCTGGTGGCTTCCGGCTCCCCCTCCTTAACTAGGTCCTCCAGTAGAGAGGTTAGAATAAGGAGACCACTACTGGGGGACCTAGTAGAGCTAGAGACAAGGGGCACTGCCCCACAAGCTTCAGGGAATGGCGGTTTCAACTCGGGGGGCCCCTGGGTCTGGACAATTCCTGCAACTCCTCCAGAACAACAAAATTGCACAGCATTTTTTTTCGGTTGGCTTGGAAACTCCAACCGGTTCGGTTCACTCGGCGAACTCATCGCGATTGCTGCTCGAGGTGCACCCACCCACACCCACCCACCCACCCACCCACCGCCCACGCACATTTCTTTTTTGGGTTTTAAGCCAGTTTGTCACCCAGACCAGCAGACCTGACGGCCAGAACCAGACGAGACCAGACCACACCAGAGACCAGGATAGGAGAGGACAGGACAGGACAGATACAGTAACAAACGGACACACACACACACACACACACAGTCCTGTGCCCGAAAACCACTCGAGAGGGCGCTCCGATTCGAGTGACGCCAAAGAAGACCCTTCGGTTTCCCTCCAATGGGGCCCTGCCCAGGTTGGACCTGCGAACTAGGCTGGAATTCGGACCCCGGCCTTTTTTCATAATCTTTTTTGCCTGGTTCGTGGAAAAAAGAGTCGGACCCCAAAAAAGGGGAGCGAATTCTGGGGCAGGGACGTGAGTGCGGGTTCAACCGTTCAACCCGCGGCCTTGGGCTCTGAGAGGATGATCTTGATGTCGGGCCGGGCCTGGCTGGGTCCAGATCCGGTGGTTTTCCTCCCTTGAGATGATCCAACCGAGAAATGCCGAAGCTTCCGATCCGGTGGATTGGCCATTTCTGTATGTGTTGTCTTTGCTTCTCTTGTTTTTTGTTGTTTTTTTCCCCCCGGCACTTGTGGTTTGCCACGAAAATGGTCCAAACCCACAAGTGACCAAAGTCCGAAACAAATGGAACTCGGGGGGAGTGAGCGTGCCTTCCAAACATGGGCACACACCATCGATGGAGCAACATCCTGGGAAGCCTTGCGCCAATGGGGCAAGCGAACAGCCGGGACTTTGAATTCCCGAAATGGCAATTCCACCAGTCCGCCAACCAAAAGCCATGGCAATAAAATCCCCTCCGGCGTCCAACTTGTTTTCTGCTTGAAACAAGGGAATCTACACCTTGGAGTTGACTAGAGTTAAACACAGTCAACACCAAACTCGCTTCACATGAAGCGCGGGGAACGAAAGATATATCGTAAAGGACATCCCCACATCCCAAACGCCAAGGGAGATACGAGAAACGAAAAGCAAACCAGCCTTACCCATCTGTTGGGCCCTGACATCCATTCTGACTCTCATGGATTCAAACTGGCTGGTCAGTAGGGAGTAAGGGAATGACCCCGTGGGTTCCTTTAAGGGAATCCCCAAAACCGGTTCATTCCCACATTCCCTATCGCACCAGGAAGTAAAGTTGAAAAAAACACCCGTGACATGAGAACATACCCGAAACTTCCGTGATAAAGAGGGCAAATTGTGAGCGGGACCCATGCGTGTTTTGTGAAACCTGTTTTTGACCGTTGCACGCTTAGCCATTTGGTTTACCTCCTTTTGCTTAGGTCCATTGGGAAAAAGAAAGTCGTGCATGATAGATTCCTGTTTGCAACCAACGGGCAAAAATAAGAACATCTTCAGCAAATGGGGGATCCAGATGGAAACCCCATTTCCCTGTTTTGGTGGCTTTCCATGGAAAAAAGCAAAACCAAACACACCCAAACCGAAGCTTACGGAACAAAACACCCATCCGTCGGGTTTTTTAATCAGTCGTCTCGAACCGGCCACAGATCGCCTCTTTCAGCACCTTGCCAGCACCCTGGAAGGTTCCACCAGTACCATAGCCTGTGACCTGATCAGGTCGAAACCCAAAACAAAAAACCTGTTGGTTTGGGGGGGGGGGGGAAGGGGGCGAGGCTCCCCTCTTCGCATAGGTCCTACGGCCATTCTCATGTAGGTGAGATATGCTGTACGTAACTAGGACCTGAGAGTGATATCAGAATTTGTCCTCTCAGGGATTCCAGTGCTATACCAGAAAACTGGCCTGTGCCAAAACAAACTGAGTTCCCTGTCGAACCGCTCAAACCGTTTCAAAGTGGGTTGGGTTTCAGGGTTTCAGAGATAAACGCAAACTTGACAACTGGTCCCCAACTTTCTTGCTGGTGCGATAGGCAGGGAATGAGAAATAAAATGACCCCTCCCTGCCCTTTGGGGCGCGCCGTTAGGAGGGAACCAACCAATAGGTTTCGAACACCAACCACAACGGAGCGCCATGTAGCTTCACACGTCCCCGAAAATGGTCCACCTGCACCTTAATTTCACCCAGATGGGCCCTTTCTGGCCCACTGAACAAATATTGGCCGTTGGGTCCTTGGCGAAAAACATATCGGCCTGTTTGGAAAACGGTCTTGGCCATCTGTGGCTGTTTTGCGTGGACAACCCGCAACATGCTTGTCATGCCGTAGCTGGACAATACTTTGCCATTGACATCCTGGGGTCGTTCGGAATGTGCGTCCGTTTGCAGGTTTGTGCGCTCGATTTTCCGAAAAGACAATAAACGGTCAGACCCAAAGGTGAAGCTGTACTTCCAATTCTTGCCCTGTGCTGGCTCCAGTTCTTCACAATAAAAAATCCAGGATCTGCAAAGCTAGGTGGGCCTAAAGCTGCAGGCTGCTCAGCTACCGCGAAAATTATACAAAGGTAATGATGCTCGCAGTTTTTTTTCCGAAATGCACTCGTTATGTTTCTTTGGAAAACTGCTCATTGTGACATTCAACGACCAGTTGTTGAAGGCCACTTCCCGAAAAAGTCCTCAGTGTATTGAACAAACACAGGTGACAATCGGCGCTGCAGGCAGAGTGACAACCATCTCCACGTGGCCTACATTTCTTGGTGTTTCAACCCTTGTTGACCGTGGCATGCGTGAGAAGCCCGAACCACGTGGTGCCTCGTTCCCTGGTCCAAAAGAGCCTTCCCAAATGTCCAAGAACAGGAACCCCCCCATTTGGATGACGGTCAAAGGCAATCCAAAAGCAAAACCTGTTTTCAGGGCCCCCAATTTCTAGTTGGCAACCATCGGTTCTCAAAATTGGGGAGCCCTTTCTGGGTAGGTGACTTCCTTTGGTTTCCGTCAGCCAGCCAAACACGGGGAATTGTGAGACACCTGGGGTCGTAGCCCAGTAGTCCAACTTCTTGCCCTCGAAGTCCCTGTCGCGAAGTCGAATCGGCGAATCCCCGAAATTTGGCGGAGTCGACGATTCTCCTTTTGGTTTCGTGGCATATCCCTAATGTTTCCACCAGGGCACGACAAATTTACAGGTTCTTGAGTCTCTAGGTACTTGACACCAAAAAGAACAGGTACCGCTAAAAAGACAGACCCTATCCAGTGAGTCAAACGGATCAACTAAGCGAGCGACCGAGCGACCACACCAAAATTAACATGGAACCTGACGTTCGGGGGGTCCTGGTTTGGACCATTTTCCTTGTAAAGGCACCGCACTCTCAGACTTATATGGCAGATTGCTACGGGGAGGGCTTCTGACGCATTCATACATACCTAAACGGGACACCCCTCCAAAAAAAGACTGTAAATCTATGGCGCTCTCGTGCGCGAGTGCAGACAGCGCTCGCTCTCTTGCCTCAAGATCTCCGGCCCCGTGGTCTTGGCCTTAGTCGCCAAAATGGTCCGAACACGCAGTGAAAGTCCAGGGACTCAACCCCCACCACTCCCCGCTCCAAGTTTTCCCCTTCTCGTTTTTCTGCCGGCTAAGGTCCAGCTGTTGGACCGGAGTCTGCTGGGGGCCCTGGCGTGGTAGGCAGGATTGGCCTGTCGCAATCGGAATGCGATGAGCGACAAGCCCGTTGAACACAGCACCTGCGCCAGAAATCCCGGAATCTGGGTGTGGGCTCAAAATGAAGTAGGGGGAACCGCAGGTGATAGTCTTTGTTCTATATACCAAGCCGACGATTCCAATTCTTGAGCCACAGCCTGATCTGTTTTGTTGCAATTGAGGATTTAAGCCGAATTGTTCGTTGTTACTCTGAATCTCTAGGCTTGCAATCTCTCCCTTCCCTTCGACCAGAAACGCAACAAATTGGAGACCCAGCCCTGATTTACCAGGATATTCCATAGCTTCAAAAGTCAGTAGAAACGGAGCAGCAACATGAATGTCACTTTGCCCGCGTCCCGACTTGCTTTCTTGCTCGCTTGGGCTTCCCTCCCGGGACAAAGGATTTAAAAAGCAAAGCCAACAAGCAGCATGCTCTACTGGAAAGTGAGGCCCGAACTGGTGATTCTGCTTGTAGTGTGCTTGACTCTTGACTGTTTGATTATGTGGGATCAATAACAAGGGGAGCAAACCAATCCTAAATATCATGGATGCAAAAATGCAACACACAGGTGGCGTCGAAACCACATGAGTGCGAGTACCACACGACGACTGGGGTCGTGACAGCGGTGATGGTGATGGTGATGATGCTGGTGACATGTGTGCTGGCGATATTGTTGCTGCTGTTGATGATGACGTCGAGCACGAGGATGAGGATGCTGATGATGATCAGGATGAGGATGAGGATGAGGATGAGGATGGTAAGGGTAATTGAGACATTTGATTCTTAACCCTGCTTCTTCGTCCAACGTATGCAAGCCTTGTCTGTCTTGTAAAGATCGCAACTGACCACTCCTTTGACAGGCAGGAGTCAGAAGCCATGTAAACCAGTGCTCTCCTTAAGGAACAAAACAGTTATCAACATACCAACACACCTTTGATCTGGTGACTTGTCGTGCTTTGGCACATCTAGGTTCTAGTGTCTGGTAAAGAAATGTAGACCATGGCATCTACATATTGCCCCCTTCCAAAAGTCGCGCGCTTCCATGGTTGTTCAAGCACATTGTGAAGACCTAGGTCTTCCCTGGGCAGTGTTCTTTTGCAATTTTCCGTTTGGAGCAATCACATGCTGATTTCCCGCAAAAACGCTGAACTAGGAAAAGCACCCAATTCGAAAATTGTCTCTGGTGTATGTCTGCCCTTTTCCGCTCAATTCCCGCTGATCTCCCGCGCATATCCCGCCGATCTCAGCGCATTTTCCGCGAGAAAACTGGCCAAATCCAGCTCATGTTGTTTTTGTCCGCTCAAAATCTAAAACGCAAGAAAAATGCCCAGAGCCCCCCAAAAGTGTCCTGAGTCATAATCAAAGCCGGTATTAAAATGGTCAACCAGAACCATGTAAAGAATTAAGAAGGCGGATGTCCGCAGCTATTTATGGTTGGGATTGTCCCTTACTAACCTTCATTTACCCGGGTTTTGATTGTGGCTCACCTGAACATGTTGCCCTTGCGGAATCTCACAAACATTGAAGATTGCATACCAACCATCACAAAATGGTTGAGAAGTTTTTTCCGCCCTTGGCATCACCCATCACCCGGGATGTGTCGGTTGCATCGCGCCGCAACCGCGCGCCTCATTCTCGAACTGCCGGGCCAGGTACCATCCGTGCTTCTCCGCAAGCTCCTTGCCGGAACCAACTGGTGAACAGGTTCTAATGACCCTTCCGTTGTGGCGTGAGTTCAGGTGCTAGGTACTGGTTCCCACGTGTTCAGTGGCACGTGTTTTTCATCCCAGTCAGTTCCCTTAGGTGTGCAATACTGTGAATGGACGCTCTCCTGCACCACCCAAGAAGCCTTGGAATCGTCTGATTCCCAACGGAAATACCAACGAACAGTGGTTTCAACGATGGTTTCTTGGGTGGTGCAGGATTTCGTCCATCCACAGTAGCACCGACATGACGCCGACAGCAAGAGGGCAAATCGTCAATGGGGTTGTGGGGGTGCTATAAAAAAAACAAGTTCCGGCATGATCAATTGATGATGGTAGCAATGTAGCCCCTCGTACTTGGCCTTTTTGAGCGAGTGAAAAATACACCGGCTTCGAACGAGAGTCAATGAAGGTACTTCCACGGTGGCACTAGATGATGATGTCACATGATCTTAGTCGCTGCGCCGGTGCGTTTTATCCACAGACCTCTACATCTATTTCACCCTTAACCATCACCCCACTAAAAGGAAACTCAGCCACAATTGGTCCAACATGTGGGTGCCTCCTTTTAAGGGTACCCCGTTTTCTTTCTGGTCATCAAAGAACCAGAAGGAAAACCACCATTTGGGGGGAGTTCCCAAAAAAGACACAGCCAATCGAGCCATGTGATTATGAAACTGGCTTAAAAGGACAATGCAGTGAGCCCCACCCACTGCAATCATAAGAGAAAACAGAAACGACCCCCATCCGTCAACAGGTTTAGCGGGCGTTCAATTGAAAACCCGTCCGCCTGAGAGCAAGCCCGGGCCAAGTTCAACGCTCATCCGGACCATTGACAAATGCCTTTGAACTTTATCCGAATGATGCTTCACGTGGCGCCGGCTTGCTGTGTCACACTGCTGTGTAGGAGAATGAGACAGGACAAATAAGAATACGTGGGTGAGTCATTGGCGATACCCTCATAATCATCATCATGGCTCCAAAATAGCCGTTGTTCATGGTGACTGAGTAATCAATCTTTGCCAACCGTAGAGGTTTCCCCAAGCCGATAGCTACCAATAGATGACAGATTTGAGCCACATGAACCACTGGACTCAGTTCCCAGGAGCCTCCGCTTGATGGCGGTGTCTTCCACCTGTGAACTGGGCTGCCCGTTTTCGGATCCCCGCGAAAAGTGACTAACTGTTAGGCCGGTGAAATGGAAATCCAACGACGAAACACTAAAAAGGTAAAAGCTATGGGGGTGGCTGGGAACCACTGAGTGAACACGCAATTTTGAAACAACAAGGTTCACCCAAGCCACACAGGCGATCTCGGTGAGGACCAAATTTACTAGGAAACTTTGTACATGAGGACATTTGCTGAGACCGAGACATTCTTAGTAAGCAGCGAATTGGGCAGACTGGCAGACTCGTCGCTGCCTTCAGAAGACCCAAGCTTTGGCAGAGCCCCATTTCCCCCTTTGGAGGCGGTTGTCCTTTAGAATCAGCTGTCCATTGCCAACAGGACTCCTTAAAAGATACATTTTGCCCATTTGAAACATGTGCTTTTCTACCAAAATAAAGGGAAACCACCATTTACAAGGCAATGTTCAGCTGAATAATGTAAGGATCCCTGCCCAAACTGCACCTTCTGGCGAAAAAACCTTTTTCCGGGCAGGAGGTCCCTACCCAACGTTTCAATCTCAGCATTGACAGTTGGAAGGCAAACTAACGAAGAGACCCACGAACAAAAGTGCCCAAGTGTTTGGGACATCCTGAAAGGGCTTCTTTGGACATGGGGGTTGATCAATACTCCTGGCCCCCAAATTTGACCATGGGTACTTTTTCCCATTTAGTGGTCGTTTTCCCAATGCTCATCCCATGTATTTCGGACCCCCACATGGGAGGGATCCACGTCGCACCGCTCCTCTGCTTTCAGCACCATACCAGTGCCACCAAGAGGTGCTGGTGTCACCTTCGGACCCGGCACCGGGGTGGGTCCAAGTGGGGGGTTGATCAATAGGTCCGAAATGCTTTTTGGATGACCATTATGCTTGGAAAACCACCTAAAAATCAGATGTCAACCACCAAATGGGAAAAGTCACCCATGGTCTAAATGGAATATGGATCAATTCCCAGTTGGAAACTACTGGCATTGCAGTTCAACATGCTTTCCCTTTCTTCAATGCAAGCTGCAGGGTAAAAGTTCAGAAGTGCTCAAAACCAAGCACTTCAGCCCTACCCAAGAACAGCCTGGCAGTTTGAATCTAGACCTCCGGCGCGGACGTGTGCAACCGGTAGATTCTTTGGCAAAGGATAAGATGTCGAGTGCACCTTGCCTCTCGGCAAATGCAACGCAAAAACAAAAACCACGCCTGCTGGTTCTGATCTCTATGAATCATTGACATCTCCGTTAAGCTACATGTTAAGTCAGAAGCCAAAGAAAAGCTGCTAAAGTGCGCAGGATGTCCATCAGCGACGTGTTGCGTATAGCAAGTGGCGCGAGATGCAGCAGTTCCTCAACCAACAAATTGCCACAACACGACGTTGAAGCGCTTGAAGCTTTGCTTGAACTGTCCATATGTATATAATTATATATATATATATATGGTCGCCCCCTCCCCAAGATCCATCCCCAGCTTTGGACACAGCTAAAACACTGCCAAAAACACTGTGATTTACAGTGTGTTGAGCAGTTTTCAACTGTTTGAAGCAGATGAACAGCAAAACGGATTTCGTTTAGACTTGACATTGTTTTTGTCAGATGGGTTGATCCTGGACAAGATGTGATGCTGGCAGATGTTTTGGTTTGAGTAGGCATTTTCATATAGTACTTGCAGCAATTTTGAGTCCGAAGAAGGATAGGCAAGCAAAAGTTTGCAGAGTATTTGTGATTGAAGTGTGCTAAGAAATCTAAATACAAAACAAAAACACATTTTTATTGCATTTTTTTCAGTTTGGGAAGGTCATGGTGCTCAAAGTGCTGTACTGTCCTGAGTTGTTGTGTTTCCAAAGCAAACAAAATGGGACAGTACAGCACTTTTGAGGTGAGGGTGCTCCAAAGTGATGTACTGTCCCTATTTGTTTGCTTTGGAGAGCCAAAAGTGATGTACTGCCCCTAAAAACCATTAAAACAAAAACACATTTGTAGGTCTCAGGCTATTTGCCATGCAACATGTAAGGACAATTCGATTGGACATATACAATTTGATTGGAGTCTTTCCTTAATAATTTCTAGTTAATTTCAGTCAGACATTGGGTAGACTTTGGTAAAGATATAAGTAGATTTCAGAAGGAGAGAATTCAAGGTCAGAAATTGTGCTTTTTGTGCTTCCTAGCCCCAGAACTACCATGGTCAGAAAACACCGAAAAGCACAGTGTTTTGTAGCGTTGTTCGTACTCAATTCACATCTCCACCAACGGCCGCTCTCTAAGATTCAGTTTGAATTTGAATAGAATTTCAAAAGGACTCAATAAGGAAATACTTGATCAGAATCCTACTGGAAGTTACATCTTACATTTTAGAATATAGATTTAAATCCTTGCCCAATAGAACATTACAATTTTAAATTAGAGGTTAAACACAATTTGAGAAGGAATGAATCCAATCACAACTTCTGTTTCATAATATAATTTGAATTAGAATAATTCTAGTTGAATTGATAGTTTACACAGTATGTTCTTTCCAATCAAACACACCTTATGCAAACATAGTTCAACTCGATCTTCCACTCAAAAAGTGAAAAAAGCGCACGCTCACAGCGTCCTGCTCTCAAAAGGAATTATATATATATATATATAATATTCACACCCAAAAAGGATTTTGGACACCAAAACATACTCGAAACAGCCCGAAGGTGGATCTTGGGGGGAGGGAGCATATATATATATATATATAATACTGTGGAAGCTCTGATTTCACAGAGGTCAGGCTATGTTTCACTTGAATTCGCTCGTGGGCGAGCCAAAAGACGCGATCAAACCCCTGGCGCTTCGAAGACCTAAAGCCGTCTGAGGCTTCCGGCCACCACCTTGGCGCCCATCATGCGCATCACCTGCATCGGGCAGAGAAAAATGCGCTCACCCTCCAGACTAACATGGAAGCTCCCGAACGGACTTTTTTGGAAGACTTGGTTCCATTTACGTTGGTCGCTGCAACGACCCCCCTGCAAAAAGTGTTCCACTTTGGGGGGTGTAGTGGAAATATTTCCCAAAAAGTTAGAGTCTAAAGATCTAACCCAATAGCAGTCAAGTTGCAGCGGCCATTTGGGGGAGCTTCCGGCTGTTAGTCTGAGGGAGTGTACTTGCCTGGTTCACTGCACTGATTTCAGGACAAGGCAGCGAGTCCCAATGAGGCGGACACAGCTTCCCACTAAAATGCTTTCACTTCCCACAACCGACGTGCCTTCAATTCCAAACAAAGAAGTAGTTTCACTGCAAACAACCGGAAGCGATTTTTGCCGAACCAAGCATCAAATGACAGTATATCACAAGAAGTCTTTATAGTAGGTGACAAGTTTTTTTTTTGGTTGTTAAGGGGTGGTCCCTTGCTTGCCTACAGGTAAAATGGATCCACTGGGAGACTTTCATAGTTGTTCCTTTCGGAGTTTCATCCCCGAACTCCCGACTTCCAATTCGGTGCGCGCGTGTTTGGAAGGTGCGTGGCTCGTGGGTCGGGCGGCTGAGTGGGGTGGCTGGTCCTTGCCTCGCGATCCCGAAGAAAATGGGTGAACTTTGGGAGACCAGCACTGACCCACTTCACCACAGATGAGTCACAATTAAAACCCGGTACACAAATGGTCGTAATCCCAGAACTATGCTCTATTTCGTCCCTTGCTAACCTTCACAGGGATTCTTACATGATACAGTACACCTGAACATTGCCTTGTAAATGGTGGTTTCCCTTTGTTTTGGTGGCAAAAGCCATGTTTCAAATGCGCAAAATGCATCTTTTAAGGAGCCCTGCTTCATCTACCCAGGTTTTGATTGTGACTCAGATTTCCTCCGTGATACCGAAGAAAGCCATCCCAATGACAAAAAGGAACCGCTTGGTGTCCCAGAACGTGTGACAATTTGAAGGGATGTCTCCCAGAACGTGTGACAATTTGAAGGGACGGCTCCCTAGTAACAAACCGCCACTCCCCCCAAAAAAATAAATAAATAATAACAACCCCCCGCCCCCCACGGGAGAGTTTTATTCTTAGGGCGTCGGGTTTGGGCCAGAACTGTTTCAGACTGAGTTGCTTAGTGGCATCAAATAGGAAAGCGGGACCCCTTTGACTTGCGGAAAAAGTGTTCAACACACAATTTCCGAGCAAGAACTTTTTCAAAACAAGGGAAGGCACCCTTGTGTCTGGTCAAAACAAAACCTTCTCAAGGGAACCCAATGGAGACCCTAATTATAAACCCTTGTCACGCAAGACAACCCTTTGCTGAACCCTAATAAGCGCATCCGCAGAGATTCGCTGAGTGGATCTGGGTTCGGAAGAGCTCGGTATTGGTTCAGTATTGGGTAATTCAATATACGTATTGGCAATTTTGGGGGTCGGCTGGCGGGGGGGTAGTATTTGGGGAAGGTTTTTTGAGTAGCAAGAAAGGATTACAAAAAGAGAAGGTGCTCCTTAGGGGTCCCTTTCAAGGGGAAAACCCAAAGGAGGAATTCTTTGATCCGTGTTTTTTTCACTGCAAGGGCTCTTGCGCCCAACACATCGCCTTCCTGGCGTGCGTGCACCGCACGCCTTTCGGCGCTCCACGGAGAAGGAGGCGGCCATCGTGGAGACAAAGTTGTAGCCCCGCTGCGCGCACACCTCGTGGGGGCCTTTCGTTGGGGACCTGCTTTTAGTTTCTTCTTCTCGGCGCGGGGTCGCGCGGGGGGGGGGGGGGGCTTGTAAGTTTCCCATGGTCCCGTTTTCTTTTCGGCTTGGGGGCGGGGTTTGTTAGTGTCCCAAGAAGTGTTCAAGCTGTCCCCCACTTTGAGTTCCTCTTGACCTACTGGCGCCGGGGGTTTGCAGGTTTTGCCACGGTTTTGCCCAGGTGTCCCAAGAATTGGAAGGCGTCGATTTTGGGAGTTGGTATCCCTTTGTGGGCTTAAAAGGAAACCAACTGGAAAATCGCCACCGTTTTGGAGGACGAAGGTGCTCCCCCGCAACACAAACACAATGTACGTGTGTCCCGACATGGGAGAAACCCAGGAAACAGTTTCGGTCCCTGTTGGTTTCACCCTGGTGGTTTTTTATCCCATCGCATTTTGGCTTTCCCCTTGAGTTTGGCCCCAAATGGTGGTTTTCCCTGTGCCTAGCCCGCAACAAAGGTTCTCTCTTTGGTTGAACCCCGAAAGATTCCTTCGGTTGATCCTTTGGCTTCCCTTCAAACCAACCCCGGCACCAAAAAGGGGTAGATTCAAAAGCGACGCAATATGAATCGGATTCCGTCCTAAAATGGGAGAGTCTCTGCAGGTTGCTGCTGAAAGAGAAGCCAACCAAAGCAACACCCTCGTACTGTCCTATGTGAAAAAACTCATCTTCCCAGTCGAATGAGGGGTGTCCAGCCATCAAATAGGGCGCCAACTGTGTCAACTGAAATTGCAGCTGGACCAAAGAGAACCAAAAAAACACATCCTTTGGAAAACGATCGCGCACTCCAATAGTGTTTACAGGTCAAACAAAAAGGAGACCCTGTTTTTTGCTAGGGTTCCATCTGCAGTTTTACGACACACCCAACTCAGAAGTGATTCCACATGACAGGGTCGATCAAACCAACCCATCGATGGACATGGCAATGACGTCACGGTGTGGAAATGACATCAGCACACCTTCCAAACTTTGGACCCCAGTGATAAACAATAAGAGCGATAAGCAACTAGACTAGTAGAATACCTAACACAAACAACCGAAAACACCTACTTTAGGAAAACATATCAACTCCCTCAGCTCACAAAATATGTGGCCCACTGCCTTCTCAACATTGAAAATATGATGTCGCCTTGGCAGAAAAGCTCAGGCCTAAAAGGTAAATGCGGCTGGACAGCTGGGAAACAAAAACATGTTCGAGGTCAAGGGACCGCCTGTCACTGTGACTCATCTTCTGCGGAGGGCTTTCGCCGACGCAAAGCTCGCGAGCTCGCGTTTCTCTGCTCCCCTGGAGCAAGAGTGCGCTCGGCATGCGCCGGAGCGGCCGCACCACAATTCCTTTCCCAGTTGAAGAAATATCTTCCGGCCTCACGACCATGACGCCGGCTCGGCGGGAAGCACAGTCCTCCCTACCGGAGGGCCGTAGCCTGGCAGGAACCTAGCTACAGTCCCGCGCGGGACTGGCATTTGACGCACGCGACTGACCTGTTCAGTCTGCTGAAGGGAGGGCATGAAATCCCAAGTTGGGAGTTTGACAGTAGATTCCACAACTCTTGCATCTTACTAGCCACAGCACAGCACACTTGCGCTGTAGAGGCTTTCTTTCGTGAATTCCAAGGAAGTTGAGTGCAAGTGGTCTTTTACATCAGCTAAACATGGCTGAGGTTGGCCTATAGGAGGTGGGCTCTTTGAGGATGTTCTGAAGGATACTTGGGTTCAATCACAACGAATCACAAGAACTGCCGCGGTACTGTCGGGCTGCCCCGAATCAAGATGAACCAGGATATCGAAACAAGTATTTTGAGAACTCTGTCAGCCAATAAGTTTTGTGTTCAGACCAAGTAATTACATGTTGCATTGCAGCATTGTGGGCAAAGATGTTGCCACCAGGAAAAAAAAGAAAAGGGTTCCTTGCCCCCAGTAAAAGAAAGGCAAGGATGACAATCCTTAGGTAAACAAATGTAAACAATGGTGGTGAAACATGAACCCAACCAATCTTTTAAGAGTGGCCTGCCTAAACCCCAGCTGAGACTATGCAAGAATCATATTCACTCGGACAGTTGTCTCCTCCCGTCACACAAAATGACGAGTTGCACTGCACCAACTATTCATCTTGCTGGTTCTCAGCAGGGAATGAGAAATGGAATGAGCCTGAGAAAAACTATCCCCTATGGTTTCCTTTATTCAGGAATCCCCTTCTGATTCTGGTTCATTTCCAAAACTCAGAACGCTCACTCTCTGAGCACCAGCAAGGCAGCTTTGGCAAGTGAGAGTTCTGAATACATGTTGTCTCGTAGGAGCAACAACAAAGAATGTCACTAGTGCATTTGGAAAGTCCCCAGCCACGGTCATGTTGAAAGAGACATGTCAGCTTGTGTTTGTGCTTGCTGCTTCTTTGCCATGGGGACCCGTGAATCAAGAGCATCCTTAGTTTCTATGGGCGCCACACACAGGACCAGAAGGGCAAACAAAACCAGACTCCCTTGAACGTTACTCCCTGAGGCAACGCCTGCAAGCGAACCGCTGCAAACTTACGGCAATCGCAGGCCACACTGCAAACAGGTAACTGACCCCAAATATGTGGCGTCCCTTTGTTTAATCCAAGGTGAAAAGGGTACCCTCACACAACCACACACACACACACAGACAGCCATATCTGCAGTACAAGTAGTTCCCAAGCCTGAAACCAGGAATCTTTCTGGGGATCCCAAAAATAAAGATATGATGGGGATATGCCCGAAAAGGAGCCCACCATGACAAAGGAATCCCCAAAAGAACCTTCATCATGGGATCGTTTTTACCCCACCCCACCCCACCCCACCCCACCCACACCAACCCACCCCACACCCACCCACCCACCAACCCCCACACCCACCCACACCTACCCCACCCCACCCCACCCCACCCCACCCCACCCCACCCCACCCCACCCCACCCCACCCCACCCCACCCCACCCCCCACCCCACCCCACCCCACCCACCCCCCCACCCCACCCCACCCCACCCCCCCACCCCACACCTACCCCACCCACACCTACCCCACCCACACCTACCCCACCCACACCCCCATCCCACACCCACCCACCGCCCACCCACCCCACCCCACCCCACCCCACCCCACCAACCCACCCACCCACGCCAACCTAACCCAACCTAACCCAACCCGCACCCACCCCACACCCACCCCACACCCACCCCACACCAACCCACCCACACCCTCGAATCGCTGGGCAAACTGGGCGCCACAGCCATGGCCAGCGCGATGCCCGTGTTGCCGCTGGTTGCCTGCCGAATAGCGCGGCCGAGTTGCCGCAGATTGATGGTGGGCGGGGTGTCTGTTTTTGGAGCTGGTATCCTTGTTTTGTGGTTTTGAAGGCTAGGTCCTCCAGTAGAGAGGTTTAGAATAAGGGTACCAACTTTTTTCCGAAGTCAATTTTAGTAGGGGAACCCTCCTCCAAAAAAGGGGTGAGAAAGGGCACTACCGGGGCACCTACAAGGGAACATGCGCCATAACCCACCCCATAACCCACCTCAGATCAACTAAGCAGACCCTCTACTAACCCTACACCCACGCCGAAACCAACCCAATACCAACCCATCTTTCCCCCCTCAAGCCAACCAAAACCACCCTATATACTTCTACCCAGGCGAGCTCTGAAGCAGAGCTCAGGCAGCCACACATGTAGATAAGCAATAGACATGTATACACATGTATATACATATATATATATAGATACACATGGAGTTGTGTTAAAAATTGAAAAGGGGCACCTTCCCCCAAACAAAGAGATACGTTTCCCTTTGGGTTCCCTGCATCATATATCCCACCCCGAAACAGGTACAATCAAAAAGCCCACCCATGTATAGTTTGCGTGGACATACACACACACACATATATATATATATATAGAGCAGGATACAATTGGCTAGCAGTTTGCCTGGAAGCTCCACATTGCATGAAACACCTCAGCTGCTCAGGTTTGTGGTATTTCTCTTGTGTTGTTTCTACTTCGTGTGCCAACAAGGCCCCTGCTTTTGGCCCTTACGTTTCTCAAGTTGCCCAAAGTGCATCCGGGCAACCTGAACGGATACGAACCAACCTCGTTGCGAGATCGGCCCTGAGTTTGACCTGTTCTCAACTACTTTGCGGACGTTGGAAGGGTTAATACTGCCCAAGCGCTGCGTGTGTGTGCGTGTGAAACTTGGGTCTAGCCCTTTTCGGAGGTTAGGTCAAGGCATGGGAAACGGGCAGACGTTGTCAGAGAGCGCAAACCGAGTAGCTTCCCAAAATGGAAGTGCAACGCCCCGCGGAAGCCTGAAAAACTTCAACTTTTTTTTCAAGTAACCAGCATTACCTTATTTGGGGTGTCTATGGACAAAGGAATGTCCTTTTGTTTGTTGGCGCATTGGTCCTGTGGTTGGGTTGTGGTGGTGTAGGGTTGGTTTAGGGTTGGTGTAGAATTGGTTTAGGGTGTATTTAGGGTGTATTTAGGGTGTATTTATGGTTAGTTTAGGGTTGGTTTATGTTGATTTAGGATTGGTTTAGGGTTGGTTTAGGTTTAGGGTTTATTGTATACGGTTTGGTTTAGGGTTGGTTTATGTTGATATAGGGTTGGTTTAGGGTGGTTTAGTTTTAGAGGTTTACCGTTTAGGGTTTGGTTTAGGGTGTATTTAGGGTTGGCTTAGGGTTAGTTTACGGTTTGGTTTAGGGTTGGTTTATGTTGATATAGGGTTGGTTTAGGGTTGGTTTAGTTTTAGAGGTTTACCGTTTAGGGTTTGGTTTAGGGTTTGGTTTAAGGTGTATTTAGGGTTGGCTTAGGGTTAGTTTAGGGTTGGTTGCGGGTTGGCTTGTCCTGGGGGTGGGGGTGCCGGGGTGTCGGGGTGCGAGTTCAGGGGGTCGGGGTGGGGGTGGCACCGTAGGTGCCAGGATCCTGGGGCTCGGGGTCTCGGGCCAGGGGGGCGGGTCCTGGAGGACCCATGACGGCACCATATATACCTCACTTCCTGAGTGGAATTGCAAATCTAAAATTATCTTCCCAAAAGGTGTAATGTCCAGGAACTCAGGGTGTGAGATACACACTGAGTGGATCGAAACAGGCGTAATGTATTGTAACGTATTGCCTCTGAATCCGTGAACTTTGGCCTGAGCCCTCATGTGTTGCAAGCGCATATTCAAGTTGATGGCAGGAGCGTACCACGGCTCCGAAAACACAAGCAGGGGTTTCAGCTTCCCTTTGACTGGTGGTTTGGATGGTGCTTTGAAGTTTAGGGGGTGTTTCCCATTTGCCCTCTACGCGAACCAGGGTTCAAACCTCCGATTCAGGGCAACCTGCAAGTTGAAGGGCTCCCACACTTCAAGCTGCGCATCCGCATCGAGAGGTTACCGCATTGAACGGTGGCCGAGGGCCTCAATGACGGTGCCTCCCGGCCTTAGCGTCACATGGGGGAATTGCAATGCGGAGAAAGCAAAGTCAATCAACAAGACCTCCATGTGGCCTTGTGGATTGGCTGTTTGGATTTCTGAGTAGGGTTGCCGATTCCCCCGTTTTTGTGAAACCAAACCAAACAATGAGTGCAACAGCTACATGGCATTGTGACGCGTCCCCATGCATCGCACGTTTCTTGCAAACTCTGGAATTTTCTTTGGATAGGGCTTCAAGAGACACCCTAATCTGCCCTGCTGCGAAAAAGCATGAAACGCTCCTGGAGCGAAGCAATACCGTGTACACGATATACATAGGAACGTGCATGTGTGTATAGATATACGTTTTTGCATCTACGATATTGCATACATAACACATATATATATATATATATACACATCATGTGCATTTAAAGATTGAATTATTCATCTGTGGTTAGCCATTGTGCAGGTTCATAATTATGTGCATTCGAGTACTTATCTGTTTACTTGCTTATGCATTTGTTGTACTTATGTATGTACTCATGTGCTTTTGCAGTTGTTTCTGCATTTTCCTGTTTATCATTCTACGTTTGTGCAGCTTCTTTAAGCTATTCATGCGTGCATGTATGCATGCATGTGATTGCTTAAGTTGTTTTCTTTGTTCTCGTGAATCTGTTGGTTTATTGCTTTATGCCATTGTTTATCTAGCTATCTATTCACCCGTCTAAGTATCTATTTCTGGTTTCGATTATTTACTTGAACACATGGCATTCAAGGATGCGTCCAGGCAACGCAAACACAAGGACCCTGGTCAACAACATATCCACAACGGATCAGCTTCCGCGGTCAAAGTGCTGAGAACCCTGAAAAGAACCAACGGCATAATTCTAGTGGTACCTTCCCCATTCTTTCCAGGGATCCTTCTTTCTGAAGAACCTCCAGAAACCAAGGGAAAATGGCCGGTTCTTGAAAAGAACGATGGTTGAAAAGAATGGACACGGAATCAAGACCTAGAATGATGAGCAGAAGCGAACATGAATGATGTCCCACTCTGGTTCCTGTCCAGTTGAACGGGGGCCAAAACAAACCGTTGGAAAGCTTCATTTTTGTGGGCGATTTGGGTTTGTCTTTTGAGGGTACCCCTGTGTCGTGGGTTTTTAAGTAAGGCCGAGAGGAAAACCATAATTTTGGGAGTCACTAGGAAAGATTTACACCTGGGGGTCTCCTACTAAAGGATACCTGGACCAAATTTATGGGGCGTTGTCCTTCTTGCATGGGTAGTTTGAGGGCCCAGGAAATTAAAACAACACATTCGCCACTGTTTCTAAAGGTCCACTTAAAACAATCAAGTCTGAAGATCCACCCCAATAGCCTAGGTCCTCGAGTAGAGAGGTTAGAATAAGGCTACCAACTTTTTTTCTGTAGTCTATGTTAGTCGGGGAACCCTCCGATTTTGTTTTTTAAAGGAGAGAAGGGCACTACTCAGAGACCTAGCAGCAATCCATTTGCTTCAGACCCCTGGACAAAAATAAATCCAGTAGTAAAATCGATTCTCTTTAAAACCACCAGGGGAACATAAAAATCTTAACCAACTGGAAATGTCACATACCGCCCGTTCGACTCGCTGGGCCCCCGGCTTGAGCTCGCCCCGCTGCTCCGCGTCCTCGATGATGGCGATGGCCAGGCGGTCCTGGAGCCAAAAGCCGACCATTCGGCCAGGGGCGAAAGCAAAAACCGGGGGGACCATGCTACTTCCATTTGGTTCAGTTTGTGTTTTTCTCCCCTGTTGGTTTTCAAGCGAATCGATTTTGCTACTAGAAGTACTTATTTTTGCCAGGGGTCTTAAGCACATGGAAGTGGACCATTTGGGTGTGAGTCAAATTAAACCACCAGATGATTCCATTTACCAGGGTTCCATTTTGGGTTCACATGTTTGACCCACAGCCATTTCACTATTGGTCTCGCGGTACCTTCCAATTCCATTCTTTCCAGGCATCCGAATCTTTCTACAAGACCACCCGACACGCTGGGAAAAAGCTGGTTATTGAAAAGAACGATGGTTGAAAAGAATGGGGAATCAACCCCTAGAAGTTTACTTCTTTAAGGGCTTTGTATTACACCCTGGGATTACGGCTTGGGAAATGACCCGGAATGGTTAATAAAATAACACGCTTTTCTCCGGAAATGTGCCTAGATGGGATCCCTACCCAGTGGGTGTATTCCCAGGGTGTAAGACAAAAACTTTTGGATACTTCCACTTGCTGAAGCCGCCTGGAAAGATATGTATATGTATATATGGTAGGGCCTCCCAAACCACTTTGGCTAGCTAAAGGCAGGTTTTGGAGGGGGGGCTTAGCATATACATATATATATATATATGTCCAGTAGCAAAATCGATTCCCTTTAAGACCCACAAGGGAAAATACAAAACATTCTTGAGCAAATGGAAGTTTGGGTTGGTTGTTGGTTGCTACCTTTTACTCAGTTGCCCAAAGGACCCAGAAATATAAGGTTAACCTTGTGGGGCCATGACGAAACATGGACCAAAATAGTGGTTTTGTCTCCACTGAAAGCACCCAAATTGGTGATTCCCTTGATTTCACCAGCAAACAATCCCAAAGAAGGCTCCCTCAAACAACACACACACACACACCCATTGTATCTATAAGCATAGGTGTTCACACTGAAACTGGGCGCTTACCCCCCAACATCAAAGTGACAGCCCCAAACTAGGCCACGGCACTGCCCATTGTTCCCTTGCGACTGGTCTCTATCACGCTGCAAGAAGTTGCGCTTTCTGCCCACTTGGAACACGTGAATTGTCACAAAAACGATACTTGGCCCACATGAGTCATGATCAAAACCCGGTATTGAAATGGTCGTAATCCCAGAACCGTGCTTCAAGAATTAAGAAGGCGGATATCCGCAGCTATTTATGCTTGGGATTGTCCCTCCAACCTTCATCTCCCCGAATCGGTTTTGACGGTGGCTCACATGTGCGGCGCACAGCAAACGAGATATCTTCGCTGTTCTCCGGAAAGGCATCGAAGAACTTGGCCCCTGCTCCGTGTGTTGCGCCGAGCTGCGGCGACGCGACGCTGAAAGCCGCGCCTTGACGGAGCTCAAAGGATTGAAGTACTCGCACCTCAGCTCAGGAGGCAAGAACACGACTTGGAACTAGGTCCTCCAGATTTGAGAGGTTAGAATAAGGGTACCAACTTTATTCTGTCTATTTTGGTAGGGGAACCCTCCCCAAAAAAGGGGAGAGAAGGGCACTACTGGGGGACCTAGGGAAGTTGCGGAATGGCTAGGAGTTCCAATCTGAGCTGTCCTCAGATTCCCCACTAAAAGTTTAACTGTTAGTGGGCTAAATGAAAAACCCCACTAAACACAAAAAATGCTAAAAGGCTAAGAGGATGGCTGGGAACCACCAACCAATTAAGGACCCTTTCCCGGAACTGTTCCAAGGGACGGAACCCTTTGCCGGAACTCAGTTGGAAAAAAGCAATGTCCCCAACTTCTCCAAACTATTTTTCACGGGATTGCCTAGGATTTATTTCATAGATGTAGTGAGCCCTCAAAGAGAACAGGAGGAGTCAGTCGGAGCCATCTCTGGCCTTGCATATTGGTTAAAAAACAAATGTGATGTGTGACTGTTTCGGGGTACTCTAGGCTCTTGATTTAAAGGTGGGGGGGGGGTCGAGATCCCTATTTTGACACGCACCCAGGGGTGGCAAAGGTCCACTGTTGGTTCCCTTTGAACGCGAACCAAAAAGGGGGACATGTTGACAAACAGTGTTCTGTTTGTTTTCCCCAACCAACCTGAAAAGGGGTACCCTCCAGAAAGCAGCACTCGATTGGAACTGACTTTGTGACCTTCCAAGAGACATAGTACGTTCAGAGGAAGTGCCCGAAAAAGGGTTCCCATCAAATGGCAATACTCTCCCTCTTGAAAGAGGAAGGTGCCAACTGATAACATTGTATTGTATGGCAGGGATCCTTACATTGCCTTGCAAATGGTGGGTTCCCTTTATTTTGGTGGAAAAAGCAACATGTTTCAAATGGTTGCGAAATGTATCTTTTAAGAAGCCCTGATGAACCACCAATCCCTTGCCACCCTTGCCACCAGGCCTCACGCGCTCTAGGCCCCGTGCTTCACGTAAAGGTTCACGTTGGCGGGTGCAAGCCTGTTCACCTGCACGTGGCTTCAAGCCCGGTGATGGACAGCAAGCTCCTCACACGGATGGACGAAATCCACGCACCACCCTTCCAAGCCCTGGAATGGTTTGATTCCCTGGAGCTGGCAACAAACAGTGGTTTCAACCACGGCTTCTTAGGTGGTGCAGGATTTCGTCCATCCACAGTCGGGTGGTCCATGCTTCGGCTTCAGAAATGTAGCCCAACTCATCCGTGCCGAACGAAGCAGTCAGAAGCAAATGATATACACTAGAAATGGTGGCGCTGTGGGCAATGTTAGCGGACCAACTCTTCCTTCTGAGAACAACTCATCACCTTCAGTGGTGTTTGCAGCAGAAGAACTTTCCGGGTGGGGCAAAGCATCTTTGGAGACATGTGCCAAGCTCTAGGCATGAGATCAAGAGTTTGAAAAAGGAGCTGCCGTATGCCAAGTCTCCCTGCTTGGCTGGTTTTGCTTTGTTTTTTTGTTGTTGTGTATCGTTTTTCTTTTTTTTGTTTTGTCTTGGCTGATTTGCTTGCTTGCTTGCTTGCCTCATTGCCTTTGAACACTACGCAGATCGGCATTGTTGTGACACACATAAAAGCGTGTTGGCTTGATGTGCCTTGGGCAGGGGATTTCTTGTTTGGGTCTGCCTGCATGCCCCTCGATGACTCAAAGCCTTACAGCATCAATGTGTTCACTCCAAAGCATTTGTTCTGCTTGATTGCTGATGGAAAAGAGTCTGAAGAATCAAGTTTTTCGGATGGACCAAAAAGCAACAACTTGGGGCTAGCTCGGTGTTGTTTAGCATTGTGGGAAATGACCACTTCTGTGATACCTAACACCCCACATAACGGGGGAGATTCCCTTGTATCACAGAAGTGGGAATAAACCCCTTGATTCCACAACCCTGTTTAGCATTGACAGTGTTGGCTCAGTATATGCTTAGTACATTGGGCCAACTGTTCCCCCCCCTTCTGCTCGCCTCCCCTCCCCTGCCCTCCCCTACCCTAGAAAGGTACTTCCGACATGATTTGATTGCATTTCCCACGCCCTCGCTTTGGTCAGTTCAGGGAACTTGTTTTGGACAATTGCAGGGAACTTGTTGCAAAACAGCACCACAAATGCCCCAAACTGCATGCCCCCTAGCACCGTCAAACAGCACCTCCACCAGCACCCCAAACTGCATCCCTACCCGGCCCCTATAGCTTTCAGCTATCTGGGGAAAAACTGGCGAACATGCTGAGCCCCAAATTGCTGATTCAGCACTAGGCTTGATCGCCCTCAACGGAATGGATGCACGATTCAGTGTTGGAGCCACAGTTATGCCACTGCTTGATCAACAGCAAATAAATGTGTTGAGGACGGGACTCATCTTCAGATTCATGATCAGTATCTTCATGGTGGCCAATCAGCTCAGAGACAGCCAAGAAAACAACGGCAAATCAAGGTCTGGCGCTGGAAATGCTTATCTCGAGGGCAAGTATCGCCTCAAGCCACAAACGGAAGACCAAAAAGGTCTCCCAATCCTTGCTATTGAAACAAAAACAGTCAGAGCTCAGATCATCAGCACCTTGCTTCATGTTGAGACATCCCCGTAAGTGATTGCAGGATCCGTTCAAGTGGTCACCAATCATGAAAGAAATTGTGGGATGAACAGTACGCATCGGTTTGAAGATAAAGGGTTATCGTCGTCCAACATATTTGTTGATTAACTCTGCTTGCAATCGTGAATGACATTGACAATTCTCAGAATGGAAATTACAATCATAACACTAAACAGTATATAATTAAAAATAATCACAAAAATAATACTACAGTGGCAGCAAGAATAGTACATAATATCTGAACATTGGTTGATGGCTTACAATCCTTGCCATCAGCTTGGACAGGTTGTCCAAAAGCAGCTATAGAGCGCCTCTTTTCTCTGGGTCCGAAACCAGTGTGGGGCAAAGCTATCGGCTGGATCAATCCTTGCCTCTGGTACTGGCCAATGCAGCCAGATTTCAAGGGGTCATGAATACTTTCCAAAACAAAACCATTGGAATGAAAAAACGAAGTCAAGTCACGGAATTTGATCAAGTTCTCATGGAGAATATCATGACCCCCATCTGTACAGCGATCAAAATGGCAGCTAAAATGCTAAAACGCACCCCTCAATGACCCTGGTATCCAACATCAATATTTCCCTCAGAGCTTCGACCAACGTCCACCATTGGAAAAGGCCAACACGGTCTGTTGCCCTTCCTTCTTCAGCCAGGCCTTCATGGGGAATCCTCCCATGGTCACATGCAGCCCGAACTTCTCCTCACTTTCCTCGATGACCGCCATCAATGGCTCGTTGCCAAAGGGCTTCTGCACGGAGGTTACATCGGAGCCAGTGACCTTCAAATCCACCGGCTCGGCCACGCCTGGAATCTTCCACTGCCCGGCGATGGCTGCCTAGGGATGCATCTCATCGAACGGATGTCTCACCAAAAAGAAGCTGCGCAAGAAAAGTGATTCCACTGACCGACATATTTACCGTTATTTTACACATGTAGATGTGTGAAACCACCTGAAACTAATTCAGAACTGTCAATCATCATACGCATTAAGTCCCTTTCTTTGCTACCCCGTGCCTTCCCCTCACTCTTTGAAAGGGCCTCCGCTGGAATCACAGAGCCCAGTTTGGCGCCGCCCGTGCTCACGGTGGTCAGCTTCACGTCAGCTTCAGCCATGACAAAGGTGATAGGAAGATGCGGGGACAGTCGGTTCTTGAGCTAAAAGCTAGTCCGTAGGTAAAGGGAAAACAAGTGCACCCACCTGCGCTGCTGCATTTTTGTTGGGGGTACCACTACCGTGACAAATTCACACTGATCCAGTTTTGCCTTGCAAAAAGAATGGAAACTGTCACATCTTAGTCAGGAATGATCTGCATGTCCCACCAACTTCAAGTTCTACCCGGCATCAAATGATCCAGCAGAAGGCACTCCGAGACTCCCAGCTCAAACGCATCCTCTTTATGAGCGCTGTGCGTAGGCTCATGGACCATGCCAATCATGGACATGGGCATAGCTTTTGGCCAGGCAGGGGGTTTCGCCACCGCATCTCCACAACCTCCATCGCCACCACCTCCGGAAAATTTCTTCATGGTGAGCTCAACCTTGGGAGGGTCGCCACCGCAAACACGGCAGTTGCCCTTGAAAGTTGGACGATGAGTCGGAACTTGCGGCCGAGCCATGTTGCGGTGGTCACGGTTCCTCCATCCACGACCCTCAGGAAACCCCAGTCCCAGTCCCAAAAACCGAAATCTGGCGACGTCGACGCCCTCGCCTTCACAATTGGCGTGTTGCCGATGGTCTCTGTGATGTTCTCGAAGATCGCACCTAGGGAACGCATCATCCAGGCCATGTCCTTGCCAAGGGACGAAAAGACTACCCGTTTTGCCCGGACCATGAACCATTGTTTGGGCTTGGTTCAAATGAAGCCATCTGACACATGTTTGGTTTCGAGGTCACGATTTGTGCCCCTACCGCCCACAACAAAGCCACCGAGTCCTGGTAGCTTGTAGCAATGGACACGGAAAAGCAACTGGGAGCCCGAAAATCGGATTCTCAAACGAATCAAGCTAGCTCTTGAGTCGACAGTGATTCCCATTCGACCGACCCACACCATTAGCCGGGTGCAAATGATGTTGGGGGGGGGGCTCGGGTCCCTAACACGGAAATGTCGAGCCGGACCTGGTTGTCCCCAGCCCCAAGACGGTCACAAAGGACATTGGAAAATGGTCAACTCTCCCGCGCAAAACTTCCTGTCGAGAGACCACATGAGTCCCAACCTGTGAAATCAATCCTCCCCATGGGGTGCAATCAGTCGCAAACCCGACCCTCCCTTCCTGAGAAACCTTGAGGTTGCAAACCAAACAAAATTGTGAGGCTGTGTCTTTTGGACCCCCCGCGATATTGTGTGTGTGTGTTGGTTGGTTTGACTTGCTTCCCAGGGAATCAAGAATGGGAACAAACCCCCAGGACCACAAGCGATACTGGGGTCATTCCATTTCTCATTCCTTGCCACCAGCCTGCTGCCAGCAAGAGGGAAACCACGAAAGCAAGAACTCATGTCCTTCACTCTTGGGGTCTTGACCGTGGACCCATCTAAACACACGGGTTTTCAAAAGGACACTTGTTTTTGTTTTTTCGCCGTGTCCGAGTCCGGAACGGGAAGACCGCAATACATGGGTTGGCATTGTCTCCAAAGTGGCATGGCAGGCGGAATACTAAAAAACTCCAAATCAATACCGTATCACTTCAAGAAAGTGTATCATTAAGTTCCAAAAAACTGTTCTAAAATAGTATCAACCTCAATATATCATTAAATTCCAAGACATATTCCAACATAGTATCCACCTCAAACAAAATGTCATGGATTGAATTCGAGGGAGGGCTAAGAGACATCTACGGGAAAACCCACGGGAAAACCGACACAGCCAATCCGAGGCAATCGCGCCGGGCGGAAGAGGTGGAGATGCACCTTGAGAGGCTGGGCTAAGAAATACTGTGGCTGGACGGAATCCGTTCGCACCACCTGAGCTGTCCAAACAGATGCCCCGCGAAAAGTGATGCCCCGCGAAAAGTGGCTCACTTTTGAGTGGGCGAAATGGAAAACCAAATACAAAACACTAAAAAGCTAAAAAGCTAAGGGGATGGCTGGGAGCCACTAAGATTATTTCTGGGTATCTACAGGAACATCATCAGAAACCAGGCTTTTGTTGGGTGGTGCAGCATTTCGTCCATCCACACTGTGTCCCCAACATCAAGCCCTGGCAAATGGACATGTGGACGAAAATATGCGTCTTTTTCTGCTGGTTTTATTTTTTGACCCGTACCCAGAATGGTGGCTCGTCCGTTTTCAGGGGGTAACCTTGTGTTTTTTTTCGGATTTTGGAGGGAAACCAAAAGCAAAACAGCTGCCCCTAAAAGAATGACACCCATATGGGTAGGAATTTGAATTGGGGACCCGGTGGTGGACATCGTTTAGGTGGGGAGTTATGTCCAACCACTTGGGAGGTGGTTCCAACTCTTGAAATCAACTGCTTTACAAGAAAAACCAAAGGACAACCACCCATTTTGGAGATTCCTGTTTTGAGACAAACCCATCCAGCTACTAGTAGGAGTAGTGGAAACCATGATTGACTAACAATCATTGGATACATGGCGCTGTCTCACAAAACAAAGACCAAATTGAGCCTTCCAATTGGTCTCTCTCGGCGTTCAATACCACGGAGACGAGGCTGCATTGCCCACAGGTTTGTTCCCAGCTTTTTGTTCCTTTTCGAAAGAGGCTGTGTTTGTAGCTCGTCAGCAGTTGCATGAAGACGGGCCATGACAGGTGCGCCACACCCAAGAGGTTGCCTTCACAACTGACTTAGGGCCCTTTCCGGAGCAGTCAAAAGATGTTGCATCCTGCTCCTTTTCGAACGGCCACCTTCGAACAAACGAACAGGCATGACTGCAGAATGTGCGAACCATGACTTTGTGTCGATCAGAGGTATATGTTGTATCCAGTGCTACAGGCCAGCAAGTGTCTAGAATATTGACAAGACGGCCACTTGACTTAGACCTCATGTGCGGCGCTACGTGCACGCTGGAATGACATGAGGCCTTAAAGTAGGGAGGAAAAAGGCCGTCAGGCGAAGTGGCACAGGGCACAGTCGACGGAACACTTGGATCATCAAATTTTGACTTGGTTTGGCTGTTGTGGGGTGTATACACCCCTTCAAGGTCATCATTCCAATGTAGTAAGCCCCTTTGAGGCTTTAGGAACGCATCAGTGGCCCACTTGGACATCGGTCCTGCGCCAAGCGGGGCCTGCGATCCAAACTCATCTTTCCCAATGCACTAAAAGCGCGAACAACTCATCGCCTATCCCATGGCTCATATCTATGTACATATACCCACATTTCGATGCTTCCTCTGGTTACATACAAAACAAATGGTAATTGGAAGCCCTGGGTATATACATAGTGCTGCAGTTACCACTATGGTAGGCACCTAGGTTGCCGCGTTGGTTTCCCCTGGTTGCCTACCCATGTAGCGGTAATTGGAGGCCCTGGGTAGTCGCACAGCAATTGTTTCTTGCCCTTGCAAGAAAAACCACGCGCGCCTTCCGCCCAAGCGAGATACCCTGCCAGGGCAGTGTGCAAGCTCAAAATGCAAGTGAGACATTTTCTAAATCAGAACCCTCGACATGGTGGGTTTTCGTGTTGTGTCCTTTGAAACAACAAGACTCAAGACCTGACTTTGTATCGGCGGGCAACCATTTTCGGACTCCGAGCCTTCTGTGGGGCCCGTCTGGTCTGTCATTGGGAGACGAGCGGGGAACAAATGAGCTCGCGCCAGTTCACAAGACAGTGGTCACTACCCCGACCGCCTGCCCACCCACCCAACCAAAATGATCGTGAGTCGCTAAATGAATCAATCCCAGCGAGAACTGGATGTGAGTTGTTTGCATTGGAGACAAAGGGTTGTTCCCTAAGCGGTTGGGATGCATCCAAACAAGTGGTTGAAAGAGGAACCTGGTTCATTGGCTTATCAATTTCTTCAAGAAGATCGGGCACAACCCTGAGACACCAAACTCACTGGTGTGGGTCGAGGCGTGCACCCCATGGCTCACACCTGGGTAACCAGTTGTTTTGTGGGAACCGTCCACATCGGCAACACCTCAAGTGTTTGGTCTGGGGTGAACGTGACTTCTTGGGCAAAACATGGACCAGGGCTGAGCGATTCCTCTGGGCTGAGAGGATGAGAAGAACAGCTTCCACGTGTGCGGAATATTGATTGACTCGAGCTGCCGCAGTTGATGGAGTTGCCGAAAAAAAGGAAGAATAAAAAAGAGACTGCGACCCACAGTCGCGTCGCAGCCAACGCTGCAACGGCTTCAGTTTATTTGGACAGGACATTGACACTTGCTGATTGGACCCTGTTGGCAACCCTGAATCTTGCGTCCGTGCAACCCCTATAAGAGAGCGGTGGCCATCACTTTCATATCAGGAAGAGGCCTGCTGTGTTTCTGATGATGGAGTGCTAGGATAAGTATTGGAACAAAACATGCGACATTACATCAGGATTTCTGGCAACTCTAGTGACTCTAGTGATTTTGGGGTGGGGGTTGGCGGGAGGAGGGAACTGGGTATGACCAATGAATGACTGTCCGAAACCTAACAAACCCCCCTCTGCCCAGTAGAATCTGGGTTGCGCCAAGGCTCCATTGAGGCTAAACTCCGACATTGCAATTGCTCATTGCTACCCCCCCCCCAGCGTGTTCCATGGCCCACCTGCTGCCAATCATTTTGCACTCCTGGCTGCGACAGGCCAAAGGTGAAGGGATGAGTCGCTTTCTCTACCTCTCCAAGCAGCCCTGGACCTCTGACCTCGAAATTAGCAATACTGTTGACATGGTATCCTCCCACCTTTCTCACATGGAACCTGACGTTTGGGGGGTTCTGGCTTGGAGCAGTTTTCTGTTAATAGACCTCTTTCTCAATCCCATACTCATTGGTGGGAGGGTAGAGCAAATTACACTTACCTCTCTCAACACAGACTCAATGGCAGACTGACCCAGCACCTGTCTCGACAGAGAACAAACCCCCTGATCCCTCGCAGCGCTGCATATTCCATGTAGAGATTGGGTCGATGAACAAGTCTATAGCTTCTGTGCGGGAATTCGCATGATCAAATATCAGCTTCCCTCTCCAAGATAAGTTAACATCCCTCTAGGGGTTGACTCCTTTTCCATTCCTTTCAACCATCCTTCTTTGCAATAACCAGCCGTTTGCCTGGGTTTCTGAAGATGCAGCAAGATTCGGACTCCCGGAAAGAATGGACATGGAAGGTAATTACCCTCACTGGCTGAGTGGATGGCCCAAAAAAGTTCAAACTTTATAATTACCACTAAAATGGTCTTCCCAAAAAGTTTAAAGTTCATGAACTCAGGAAGTGAGTACCCCTAGAACCCTACTGAACCACTGGCTTGGAGAAGGATTCCGAAGCCCTCGAGGCTGGGATTCGTGGCCGGGGCGTGTGCGCCCCGAAGCAAAACGAAACTTGTCCAGTGGTGATAGGTCGCCTTTGAAACCAGAGAGAAAACAAGGTTGAGCATGTGAAGCAGTATATAAACATGTGGTGTTAAACAAACATGCTTATAAACACCAAGATATAGCGAACCCCAAAAGGACAATATCCGTTTTAGGGGTTCCCTGTCCCGTTTGGAGATTGCTAGGGAGTTCTTTGCCTTCACAGCTGCAAAAAACCGGGGCAACATACAAATTATTTCAATTGCTTAAACGTAAAACCATCCAAAAAAGGGTACCCCCCAACAAAAAGCGGCACCCAAGCCCATGTCGGCCGGTCCTTGCCAGCCCTCAAAACTGCGACGCACGCTGCAGCCAGTGCGAAGGCGGGGCCGATTTGACGGACGGGGTCGAAAAGGCGAAGGTCTGAAGGGTCTGGCAGGATGCCATGGGTGGGGAGGCACTTGAGTCATAATCAAAAACCCGGTACAAACATGGTGCACCCAGAACCATGCTTCAAGAACTAAGAAGGCGGCCGCAGCTATTTATGGTTGGGATCGTCCCTTGCTAACCTTCATCTACCCGGGCTTTGATTGCAGCTCACTTCTTTGCTCATGCCACTGCGTGTAAACCTCGCGAGCCCCATCCGGAATGAAGGGCTTTTCCCTAGCAAGGACCTTTCTATCTCTTGGAGAGGCGCCAAAAGCGAACAAAACAAGAAGGGCGGGTTACAAAATGGCGACCCTTCCTCTTTGAGTCTAAATCAAGATGCAAGCATTCAGCCAAAGAGGGTCCCTAAGACGTATCTGCAAAACTCTTCATGGCTATGTCAACTGACTGCGAACAGTTGGATCTGGCCGGGTGACTCTTTCGAACCCAGCGTGTAACACCTTCATTCCTTTCTTAGGAGATGACAGCGATACAAACCCCATAATATGTGTCTGCAAATCAGTGGCTTCGTTCTGCTGATTCGGCTCCGGATGACCACACGGTGACACCAAGCAGCGGTGAGACATGGTGAGACCAAGCAGCGGCTTCCGCGGAAGCGGCACAAGCGGCAAGCGGAGAGCAGATCACTTCACCTTCGGGAAGATCTTTTCTACCTGGCGATCGCTTAGCCGCTGCGACCGGACCAAACGCCCAAGCTGATGTTTGGTTCTAACATGGTAAAAGGCTTGAGGCCTCACGACCAAATATGAATAATCCGCTACTGTAACTTCCCCCCATGAAGCCAGAAGACCTGTGAACTTGTAAACAACCTCAGCGACATACATGTAATACAGTAATACGTATTTTAGCTACAATTCCTAAGGCAAGAGCTGTTGAACCATTTCGCTTCTGCGAATCCTGCGAATCCCTGATTCGTGATCCATGACTTTCGGGCCTCCGCCAGGCACATTGGTTTGGATGGCCAAGACAAAGCGAAGGCATACGCCGTGGCCCTAGGTTGCAAGATCCTTGTCTTTGCAACGCCACATGTTTTGTGTTTTTTTGGTTAAGGGTACATGTTTTGGGGGCATGGATTAAACGGAAAACGAAGGAAAGACACATGTCGTCGGTCGAAACATCTTAAGACCTTGACAAATGTCTCAGTCAAGACAAAGTTCCAAGGCCGAGTTCCATGTAAAGTTGTTGCAAAATGGCCAGCATGTTAGTAACATGGGAAGCAACAAACAAAACACATCCAGCAAGACATTGGTGCAAATGACATTCCTGGATCTGCTTTGGATCTGCTGGGTCTTGCCAGATGTTTCTCCCTCGGCTTTTGCACAGGACAAACCGCCCATCGCAAACCCCTCCCCCAGTCCGCGCAGCCAGAGCGTTTTCCGACGCGGCCACATCATACCCCGTGCCCCTAATGCCAAGGAAGCCTTGTGATGACCAGCCGCCTACGAATTGTTCGGAGACAACAAGGCAGACCGCCTTTTTCTTTCCTCTTCTATTTGAGGGGAGGGGATCCCCTAAAAACAGACACACCCAAAAAAAGAGCATTCCCTATTGGCAAATGCGTCTCCTTCTTGCAGGCCGCGACCTGAAAGAACTTCACACAAGGGCTTCGTGCATTTGGCCATGCAGCTTGGGTCAGTTCTGAACCGAACTTTCGGGCAAAATATGAAGCATGCAAAGTTGGCCAGCCAATAAATGCATGCGCAGCCAAGCCACACCCCGATGTTCACGGCACACCCATCCATGAACTCTATCGAATTCCTTTGCCAGGCCGACGCCAAGGCCCAAGAGGAGTGACTTGCTGGTTCCTTCGAGCACTCAGGAACCATCTGGGCAAAAGACGAAACTGGATAAATCAATGGAATCTGAAGAGCCTTTGTCATGGGGGTGAGCTCGATACAGCTAGCTCCGCTCATAGGTGGCCTTTTGGAAAAAAAAATGGCCCTGATAAATGGAACAACATCAATCTAAACCCGTGCCATCTATGTTGTTCTAAGCCGCAAAAAAGGACACCTATGCTTCAGCTCCTTGCAATTTGCCCAGAGCCATGCTTTGGAGCAGCTACAGATCTGTTCAGAAGCCTGCCATATCAGCCTTGCGCCCGGCAAAGGACATGTTTTTGGGCTCCACCCTAAAAAAAGAGGAACCAACTCCAAAAAGCGCACATTGTTTCATATATATATATATACACATATATATATATACACATATATACACATATTATATATATACATATGTATATTTACATGCATATATATATATATAGAGCAGTTTCTCCAAACTGAGAGCCACCCGTTTTTGGCGGGGTAGAGGGAAACCAAAGGGACACCCGCAATTCCAAGCTCTCAGAACAGCCAGCGCCCGGCTTGCGGCTCAGCGAACCCGGCTTCCGCTCCGGAAGGGCGCCATCGCCTTGCGGAAGGCGAGCCCGCAGGGAACCAACGGGTTTGGGACCGGGAACGAATCGGGGATCCCCGTAAAGGAAACAGGGGACCAGCAAGAAAAGGACAACCGGAAGGAACCGAGCCCCTTGATAAGGTCCCTACAGAAAGAGAGAGAGAGAGAGAGAAAGAGAGCGTGACGACCCAGACATGAGAAGATGAGCCATGCGTAGTCCATTGGGACCCATGTTCTGGTGAGTTCCCTTGGCTGTAGATGTCAGACAGGAAACTTAGACCAGAGCCCGTCTACTTCTATGGTTGCAAAAAGGCTAAATTTGGGTGGAACAATATGCGCGGTTTGGGGTAAACTGGTGGATGAAGTGCCCCCAAGTCCAACAAAACTGGGAGAGTCTTCTTTAAGGGGGACTCACAAAACGTGATGCTCCTCTTGGTTCCCACTTTCAACACTCAACATAAGGGATTCCCTTCAAAAAACGCCCGACTGGCCGGAGGGCAGAAAACCATGGTTTAGGGGAAGGTGTTTTCCGACACGAAAGTCCAACAAACATGGCTTGGTGAAGGTGATGCTACCCAAGTTCATTCGACTGGTTATGGACTTCTGGAAGACAAGACTCTTCAGGGTAATGAGTCTGACGATTTCATTTCTCTCGATCCTCTGGAAGGCTGTGGCAAGCAAAATGTGTGGCTTGGTATTTTTGATTTGACCTGGAATGTAGGAACTCTCTGTCCATGCACAAACAAATTGTATCCTCAAGAAGAGACATGCTCCTGCATTTCCGAGCATCTGGATTGCACACGCAAGATTCGCCGAATCCATGGTTCCCTTCTCAGGGAGATCTTGGGAAGTTTATGTCAAGTTTATGTATGTCGCAACAGAAAGTTGGTTCTACAAACAGGTACCAGTGTTTCCATAGCGTTCTGACACCGGCCAAGGAAACGCTTGCCCTAAAGGAAACTATAGTCTTGCAAGACCTTTCTGTCACCTTCCATCAGGTAGCCTCTTCAGAATCCAAATGAGCTATCTCCAAAATTCAAGAGGTGCAACCATGGAATATCTCTGGCTTCATTTCTCGTATGATCGCCTTCGATTTACCGGGCTTCTTATATATCTGTATATATTTGCTATCCCCCCTCCCTATCCCCCCCGAAAAACAACCCCCGAATACATGTCCACTGCCCCTAAAGCGGAGCATTTTGGGGACTTCGGCTCTGCAACCGCGGCAACCGCTCCTTTGGGGCGCCTATCCCCCTTTTAATATATATATATATATATTTCCTCTCCCCGCCCCCCCCCCCAAAAAAAAACAACAACAACAACTAGAGGACGATTGGCCCGAAAGCATTGCAAGCCATGTGTGTGGAAGGGATAAACTTGTGAGTGAGTTTGGCGGACATTCTTCAACAGCCGCTGCTATTTTGTCCGACGCGAAGCCCATTGTCTGTTCCTTCCTGCGTGGCCCTTACGCAAGACAGCGTCCAAGTCACGCAGGCAGGGCTCGAAAGGGATCTGCGCAGCTCTGTGTGAAATCACTCGTCACACAAGCGCTTCTGCGCAAGTGCTTTGTGCAACTTGCTCTGTGCAAGTTGCGCTGCGCAAAGTGCTCTGTGCAAGTTGCTCTGCGCGAGTTACGCTGCGGAAGTTGCTCTGTGCAAGTTGCTCTGCGCAAGCTGCTCTGCGCAAGTTGCTCGGCGCAAGTTGCTCGGCGCAAGTTGCTCTGCGCAAGCGTTCTGATGCAAGTTGCTCTGCGCGAGTTGCTCTACGGCGCATGTGCGCTGCCTGCAAGTTGCTCTGCGCAAGTTGCTCTGCGCAAGTTGCTCTGCGCAAGTTGCTCTGCGCAAGTTGCTTTGTGCAAGTTGCTCTGCGCAAGTGCTGTGGCGGGACTGTGCTCTGCGTACTAGATTTGTACTTAAAATTTGCAAGTTTGCAGCCGGAGCTGCGGGACTGTCGCGCGGGCACCGCCAAAAACGCAAAAAACAACCTCGAGTTTTTGCACCTCGACCACGCCGATCCCCGCAGAAGGTCGCGCGAGCACCGACAAAAACGAAAAAAAAAAAAACTCGAGTTTTTGCACCTCGACCACGCCGATCCGCGCAGAGGGTCGCATTCCCGATCGCCGGCGCCAAGAAAGAGATTCTTAATACCGAGCTCTTTCTCTTTCTTTCCCGCGCGTTAAGTACTGAACCTAACTTACTTAGCCTAGCTTACACAGCTGCTAACGCCGAGCCTCTACACCTAGCTTAGCTTAGCTCTATGCACCTAGCTCTATGCACTTGGCTCTATGCACCTGGCTCGATGCACCTGGCTCGATGCACTTCGCTCTTTGCACTTGGCTCTGCGCACTTAGCTCTATGCACTTGGCTCCTTGCACCTCGCTCTTTGCACTTCGCTCTGAGCACTTGGCTCTATGCGCGTGGCTCTTTGCACTTGGCTCTGCGCAAGTAACTCTATGCTGGCGACTCCATGCTGGTGACTCTGTGCAAGTATCTCCATGCTGGTGACTCTGTGCAAGTATCTCCATGCTGGTATCTCCATGCTGGTGACTCTGTGCAAGAATCTCCATGCTGGTAACTCTGTGCAAGCTACTCTGTGCTAGTAACTCTGCGCGAGTAGCTCCATGCTGGTATCTCCATGCTGGTGACTCTGTGCAAGCTACTCTGCGCAAGTTGACCAAGAGCTCCTGGTATCTCCATGCTGGTGACTCTGTGCAAGCTACTCTGCGCAAGTTGACCAAGAGCTCCGCACGGAAGAACCCTTTGCAATGCTTTCGGGGAAACAAAGAAAACAAAGAAAAAAAAGAAAACCAAAAACAACAACAACCCAAAGTGTATTTCCTATCCCCCCCAAAAAAAACAACAACTACAAACAACACATGTGACTCCTAGGCAACGGCTTTGGGGCGCCCGGCCAGCTTCGCGGTGGGCGGCGCCCGGCTCCTGGCCGCGGCCTTGGCCTTGGCCTTTGGCGCCGGCGCGGGAACGGCCTTCGCCTCGGGAGCCATGGATGCGGCACGGGTGGAGCCTCGTCTTTGTCGATTTTGGGAGTTGGAAGCCAAACCAAAACAAAACCAAAAATTGGAACGCGTTTCATTGGAACCCATAATTTGGGGTTGCTCAAAAGGGAAACCAGAGAACGTGTTCCCAGAATTTGGGCAAGGGGCCAGGGTGGGGTAGGGCTAGGGTAGGGGTACGTGGGGGTAGGGGTAGGGGAAGGGGGTAGGTGTAGCAGGTGTAGGTGAAACCCGAGCGATCAGCGGGAGTCTTTTTGCCACCTTTGGGAAACTCATCCACCCCTTGTAGTGAAGGAGTCCTTTTTGAGGGGGCCGCCATAATTGTTTTTCTCACAAAACGTAGCAAAAAGACCCCCCTGCCGATGGATGCGGCACAGCGGGTGGGGGAGCCTCATCTTCTTGTGGGAGGTGGAACCTTTCAAAAGGGAAACCTAAAGGAAACGCGTTTCATTGGAACCCGAAAAAAATGGGGTTGCTCAAAAGGGAAAACAAAAGAACCCGTGTTGCCTTTTTTGAGGTTACCATGGTTGAGCGAAACACAAACATTGGCCATAGAACATTGAGAAGTGGTTGCCTGAAGAAGTGGCAGACAGTTGCCATGAAGTCATAGAAGCATTGAGAGGACATTCAATCTGGGTGAATAATATTTCACCGGTCTGAAATAAGGTGGCTGTTTTGGAGCTCTTCCCCACATAACCCCACCATTTGGGGTGAATTCGGTCCTGCGAGGTCGTTATAGTTCACATATGGAACACCGCCATCGGCGCCAAAATGTTCCAAGAGCGGTTCCTACGGCTTCCTTGATGGCGCCAGGGATGGGCAATCACCAAACGGGTCATGGATGAAATTGGGAGCGACCCGGTCAGAAGCAAAAAGTAGTTGAACTTAAAAAGGCAAACTTTTTCGAACCACGCGGCATATGTTACTCTCGGGTATGTCAGAAACAGGAACACCTCTCGTTCAAAGCGAACGCGGATCCAGCATCCTGGTTGTGCGCCGCGACACATTCTCTGAGGTTCTTCGGGGAGAGCTGCTTTTACATAAAGCAAGTTGGGACTTGTCCAAGGTTCCTGAAGCGAGAGCTCACTGCCAAAAGGGAACCGACCATTTCTGGGTGCCCCGTTTTACGAGACGCCCCTGTGGGTCTGTCTTGTTTGAGGGAACTTTGTTTTATGTTTTCAAAAAGAGAAACCGGAAGGAAAACCATTCTTTTGGAGGGGGTCCTCAAAAAAACACGCACCCGTATGGTCCCATGACAAATCGAACTCCATCTAAGACGCTGACCGATCGATTCTTGGCCATGGCATTGCACCCGCGCACGCCTCAGTGACTCAGGCGATTCGTATTGCGGGGGAGGCCCAAAGCAATACCATCATGACGCCTTGTTCCCCTGAAGAGCCTGGTTTGCACACCCACGCACACACACACAGACACGCACATACACAAACAAAGAAAAGAACAAACAAACATTGAAAGTACTGCCGGATACAAAGAATCGGACGGGGAAAGACAGAAAAACTGAGAAAGAAAGAAAACAAATATAAAGAAACAAACAATGGCAAAATAAAGAACGAACGAAAATCACACAAAAGAAAGACATAAAGAAACAACGAAAGACGGAACAAGAGAAATAAACAAACAAACAAACAAACAAACAATCCAGAAAACATGCAGGCACAAAAACGTGCAAACACACTCACTCATATACTATATTATGCAAACATGCAAACATGCAAACACGCTGACACACAAGCACGCAAACACGCTCAATCGCACACACACACACCCACACACACACACACATACAACCCCCTACACACACAAACAACAAAAGCAAACACATGCACAACCACGAAAACACAAACACAGGCACACACACACACACACATGCACACCGGGGCACGCACATGCACACAGTGGCACGCACATACACGCACACGCAAACACACAAACACAAACATGCAAACAGTGACACGCAAATACAAACACATAGACACAAACCATCACACAAACAAACAAACAAACAAACAAGCAAGCAAACAAACAAACATACAAGCACAACAGAAAACACACCCCAGCACACCACCACCACCACCACCACCACCACCACCACCACACCACCACCAGCAGCACCAGCAGCACCAGCAGCACCAGCAGCACCAGCAGCACCAGCAGCAGCAGCAGCACCAGCAGCACCAGCAGCACCAGCAGCACCAGCAGCACCAGCACCACCAGCACCAGCACCAGCACCAGCACCAGCACCAGCACCAGCACCAGCACCACACACACACACACACCCACACTCACCCACGTGCGCGCACACACACACACACACACACACACATGCGCAGGACCATGCAAATGAGGCACTCAGCCCTTGCTCGAAGTCCTGAACACTTCAAACAAATCCACTTTTCATCAAGGTCTGGTTTCTCGGTTGCTTTCTGCTCCCCTGCTAAAGTTTAACTTTTAGTGGTTTAATGGAAAACCCATTAGTTGGCAAAAAAATAAAGTCCTAGCATCCAAGCAACATGCACCAAAGTAGTATTCTTTATCTAGAAGCTAGCAGGCTAGCAGGCTAGCATCGATCTCGAAGCTAGCGAACGCTGGCCATTCCGGGCACAAAGCAGAGGAGCAGCCTGCCAACACGCGGTTTCGGCAAACGCGGACACTTGAACATGTGCCTCAACATTTCGGATTGTCAGCCGAAGACTTGGCATAACCTGGGCATGGGTTGACAAAAGGCACGGGTCAGCGCAAGATTCTAGCCCAGCACAAAAAATCGGCCTGAGCTGCATGGCATACATAGAATTAGTGTTTGGTGTTTCAACAACCAATGAAGAAACCAAAAGAGCCTAACTTGGATAACCACTGCAATTCCACAACTGAAGCTTGCCCCCGTTCAGTTCAGCTCGCCAAAACAGCAAGCCCGAATTCCTATAGCCTCAGTGGACCCCCTTTGGGCTTCAATTCTGGATTTACTGTCGCCCGCCAGCCTGTCCTTTGTGAAGTCAGCCAGGTTTGCAATTACAACGAATAACAATTAGAACGATGACTATACTATCAATCACCATGATAGCAAATGAACAATGGAATAACAATAACGATAATTGCGATGAAACTAGAATTATCAAACTTTGTGTGACAATGATACTACTACTACAACCATAATTATGGAATTTTGTGTAGCAATGATAGCAAAGGGAAAACACACACTAGAAAAAAGGAAATCGGTGAAGCAAACCTTTGTGGCCATTTTTTTCCTCTGCTCAAGGCCCCTTGCCTACCACTTTTGGGGCCCCCTGCGCGCACCCAGATCCACCGCCAGCTGCTCATCCACGAAACGCCTGGCCGAGACGCGTGGTGCTGAAAGCGTGGGCCAAGCTTTCAGCTGGGGGCCAATGGGGCAGACCGTGGCTTCATACTGTGGATGGTTGCGAAATCCATTTCGCACCACCCAAGAAGCCCTGGCTTCTGGCTTCTGATTCCCAACGTAAATACCAGCAAAAAGTGGTTTCTCATGGTTGCTTCGGTGGTGCAGGAGTTCGTCCATCCACAGTAGACCCTTAAGGGGGGCTATGCGGAGGGGGGTTACCCCGAAATAAGGCCTTACTAAGGGCTTAGCCTTGGCTTATCCAGGGATAGCCCCCCACCCCCCGCCATAGCCCCCCCCTAGGAGTACATGATGCCTATAAAACAACTCTCATGTCATGTTTGCAACTCATGAAATAGCAAGCCACAAGCGTTTCAAACGCACACGCGCACACGTGCATCATACGCAAAGTATACTACTTGCACTCTGCAGCCATGAATGAGGGCCCACAATGGCACCTATATAGTGGGGTGTGTCTCATGGGAGACCCTCACAAATGCTCCTTTGTCCCATTTTCCTTTTTTTTCCTCAAACAAAAGCAGTATCCTCAAATAAATGCTAGGTCCTCCAGTAGAGAGGTTAGAATAAGGGTTCCCTTTTTCTGGTTTGTCTATTTGAGTGTGGGTTCCTCCCCCAAAAAAGAAACGGTAGGGGCACCAATTGCTGGGGGGACCAAAATAATTTTGGCCGTCCGTTTGAACTCCCGCTGCCGTGTCGCCCATAAAAAGCACGGAGCGTCGCCTCACATCGGCGAGGCCCTGGACTTGGGACACCAGCTCCTGCAGCGCACCTCGAGGCGCCGAAGCACCGAAGCCCCAGAGCCCGGGCGGGCGGCGGGCTGCTCCTCCCAGTGGCATGTGGACCTCAACCAAAGACATCAACTCATTGCGGAGCCGTTGAATAAACAAAACCCTTTCAAGTTGGTTGCAGAATCCCTTCGAACCTATCAGAAGCGATGGCTTTGAAACCCGAAGGTTTCTCGGAATCGTCGGGGAATCGAATCAGACACCACTGAGCTGTCCAAACCGATCCCCCGCTAAAAGTGACTCACTGTTCGTGGGCTAAATGGAAAACCAACCACTAAACACAAAAAATGCTAAGAGGCTAAGGAACCGGATGGCTGGGAGCCAATAAGATAACGTGTGTCCAAAGATGTTGACCCCGGAGGAATAAACCCGTGCCATTCTTGGGGGAGTGGTCCTTGCAAAGGAGACGAATCCCCACTAAGCAGGGACACCCCCTGCTCATCAACCAGGGCTTATTAATCTGGGGTGAACATTCACCCTGAACTCACCAGAGGGTCCCCTTTAGAGAGAACAATGGTCTTCCAAGCCCTCGTCAGCTTCCACGTTGGATGGGAGGGTACCTGGAAGATCAGGTGCCGACATGGCACGCACACCACTTTGCTACAGAAAAAGCATGATGCTCAGATTCAGCGTCAGATGTTGTCAAACATTATATATATATATGTATATATATATATTCGAGAGCCTAAACAGGAATCCGTATGATCAAAAGGATCTACACATGTTCATTAAATGTTGCAAGTTGGAAACAAGTTAACCCTCACGGTGTTTGCGTGATGTGCAAATACATTGATGTACAAGCATACTCACGGAGTGAGGTTTGCCCTGCAAACTCCCCAGCACCCCATTGGGTTCAAATGACCACCCAAAGAACGCTCACTTTGAATTGGGTATGCAATATGGGTCAAAGTTAAACCTCCAGGGGACTGCAGGTTTTGGTCCATGTTTCCATTTACCAAATTCCATTTTGGGTACATATGTTTGACCCACAGCCAATTGGCTGCACAGGCCAAGGATTCCATCTCGGCCTTCTGGGGGAGGACAATTTTCTTGGCGTCCCGGCTGAAGGCAGGAGGCTCGCGGCTCTTGGCTGCCTGCGACCAAACATCCAGTCTGACCAAAGTGCAACTGACCTTTTGGGACGTCCGATTCCATCCTGGTGTCTCCCACTCACTCCCGATAGGCAAGTTGCTGCCTTTTTCACAAAAAAAAGAGCCGAGTAAGCACTTGCGCCGGCTTCATCTCGCATAGCAAGCTGACCTGTACCCCAGGTGCTTCAGCTGTCGGAATCCTTCAGCTATCGGTTTTCACCCTGCCTGGTTCGACCCCCGCCTTCCAGTCAGAGAATCACCCACAAGCCTATGACTGTGCGGGCCTTGTCCAGGACTGGCTGCACAAAGGCATCCATCTCCTGCCAAATGTGGCGTGCTTCGGCCGCAGAAGGGCTGTTCCTTCCTTTCGAGGCCTAGTGCCCCTTCAGGAGGTTGATTTCATCTCAAGATCAAGTGAAACCCATTTTCACCATTCCTTGATTGAGACAGCACAAAGAGATCCTTCGCTTGACTCCCCACCAGAATGTGATTTGCCCTTCCTCCCAACATGACATTTGTGGGACCTGGAAAATCAGTTTTGTTTATCTCTTGGAGGAACCGGGTCGCTGTCAGACGTGCCTAATTTTTAGTGGGAGAGATGGTAGCCTACCATGTCCTTACGGACCTGGTAGCTCCTGAGCTCCCTGTTTAAAACGGAAATTTGGATACCCCCAGCTCCTCAGCTCGAACCCCCAACCAACAGCTAGTACCTGTCTGTCTCAAAATAGGGGAACCTCCAAAATGGCAACGGTTTCTGTTGGTTCCCCTTCTAAACCAACCCCAACAGGGTACCCTCAACTCACTTCCTGAGTTGATTGGCCAGAAAAGGTCCAAACTTTTTGTTTACCACCGAAATGGTCTTTCAAACAAAAAATATGTCCATGAACTCAGGAAGTGAGGCAAACAAGGACGAGCCACCCACTGGTTGCCGGTCTCTGCTTCTTCTTCCAGGATTCTCCTCATCCAGCGCTGCCTGAAGCCGCTCTTGCAGATCCCGGCCTGGCGAGAACGAAATGCGGATTCGGTTGCCCAAATATGGAGTCGGCTTTCCTTTTGGTGTCCCTTGAAAACCAGAAAAAGCAACTGAAAAGCAAGGTACCCTCAAACAAAAAAACACCCACACCCTCACAAAGAAGCAGAAAAGCCCAAGTTGCTTTAAAACAACAAAAGTGAGGCAAAACAAATATACAAAAATCCTCGAGAAACCATGAGACACAAAACTTTTGGCGACGTCAAACTTATCCTCTGAATTTAGTGTATCCGTTTTTTCTCGCACTTGGTTGGTGCTCCATCAGCTTTCGGTTTTGACACAAAACATAGAAATCATCCCGGAGTTGTTGTGTTTCCTGCTGTTACTTGCTAGAAGGATACCTAATACAAACAAAAAGTAGGTGGAAACCCAACAACAAACACCTGGCAATAGCTTTTCGCAAAACCAATTATTTTCCTCCGAGTTTTCTGCGCTGTTTTAGCTCGTTTCTGTAGTTAGGTTCATTGCGAGGATTCATGTGTGTGACTTTTGATGAACAAACTATCACACCTAACCGAGAACAAGGTAGTTAACAAACGCTCATAATTCTAAAAAACAACAACTAGTGCTCAGTGTTTCTTGGCTTGTGTGTTTGCACATCTTGTTGGGTTTGCGGGCGCATTGGGTGTCCGAATTCTGGCCCCTATCACACTCAACGCAGATACACAATACCTTAATAACAAATGGACTTTTCACAAGGAAGCAGAGTGAAGGTAGTTCATAGGGGGGTGCAACCATATGTAATTCTTTAAACATCATAACCAGAATGCTAACACTGAAAACATGTATGTGTGTATGTCTGTGATTGCCTGGCAATACGGATTGAAAAGGGTTTAACCCTGCGTCTTTTGGTCTCCCACAAGTTGTGTAGGGGCTTTTCAGGCACCGAGTCATCACCTCTGTCACCTCGATTTCAGTGTTCTTGAGCCATGAGCCTGGGTGTCTGCTTTTCAGGGTCTGTATCCTTCTTGGGCTTACGCGTTTACACGGGAGGAAAGCACATCACACGCTTATTTGGTTCAGCCACTTTTAGATGTCGGTTGCTCCCTGCTGTTTCCTCCCGTTTGTTCCAGTCTACCCAACATCAAGGGCGGATATCTGCATCTATCTTTAAACTTCCCTCCGATTGCTCCCCAAATTGCCATGCAGCAAATGGGTCCCGACGCCAACTAGTTTCCTTTGACTATTCCAAAGATGTAAACATGCAACCTTCACAAACTGATAGTTTTGTGTATTTTGCACTTGCGTGGGGCACAGACAAAGAGAGAGAAAGGAAGATAATTAAAGGATTGAACAAGAGAAGCAACAAGATAAAGAGTGAAGAGAAAGACAAGGAAAGATAACAAAGGAAAGGGAAAGGATACAAGAGAAAAGAGGGTTGAGGTGTTTCTTTTTTACTAGCCCCGGCTTTTTACTAGCCCCGGATCGGCACAAGCTGCGGGTTGGTGGCCTCATCGCCAGCATTTCCGGTTTCTCGTCACGGCTGCGTATGGGGGGCATTGCTCGGGATAGCCGGCCGCATCGCCAGCATTACTGGCCTCACTCGGACGAGAGCTGCCTATTGGCTTTGATTTGGTGGCAGTTCAAGCTTTGGGCTAGGATTGGTGGTTTGGGGCAACGCCCCACAACCAATCCCAAACCAGCCCAAAACTTGCAGAACCACATCCCTGAAGCAACCCGAAAGCCACGGCTAAACCAGCCGCACATCTAGCACGAATCAGCCCCAACCAAGCCAAAACCGACCCAAAGTCAACCTGAAACCCTCCCAACCGCATCCTGCATACCGGCCCTTTGCCGAGGCTAAATGAACCCCAAACAAACCCAAGACCCGCCCGCATTAATATCTCAGCAAGCCCACACTCACCCCAAACCAGCCCCGATCAACCCTGAACTGCCACCAAATCAAAGCCAATAGGCAGCTCTCGTCCGAGTGAGGCCAGTAATGCTGGCGATGCGGCCGGCTATCCCGAGCATCAAGTCATGCCCCATACGCAGCCGTGACAAGAAACCGGAAATGCTGGGGATGCTGGGGATGCGGCCGCCCAGCTGACCAACCAACCAACCAACCAACCAACCAACCAACCAACCAACCAACCAACCAACCAACCAACCAACCAACCAGTCCCCGAGCCGGGTCAAGCCCCGAGCCGGGGCCAGTAAAAAACTAGACCACGGTTGGCCCGAAAGCAGAACATCGCAAGCGAGGTCGGCCCAACGCTGCAGGATGCGTTCTTTTTCCCTACACGAAGCATTCGTGAAGCAAGCGCGAGACAGCACCAGGCAAGGTGCTCTGCGCAAACTGGTCGGTGCAAGTTGGTCTGCGCAAGTTGCTCTACGCAAGTTGCACTGTGCAAGTTGCTCTGCGCAAGTTGCTCCGCGCAAGTTGCTCCGGCAAGTTGGTCCCTGCAAGTGGCTCCCTGCAAGTTGCTCTGTGCAAATTGCGCTCCCTGCAAGTTGCTCTGTGCAAGCTGCTCTGTGCAAGTTGCTCTGTGCAAGTTGCTCTGCGTAAGTTGCTCTGCGCAAGTTGCTCTAGGCAAGGCGCTCTGCGCAAACTGGTCGGTGCAAGTTGGTCTGCGCAAGTTGCTCTGTGCAACTTGCTCTGCGCAAGTTGCTCTGCGCAAGTTGCTTTAAAATGCAAGTTGCATCTTGCGACGCCCGCCCGCGGACCAGGGAGGAATCGAACCCGCGACCCGCCGGTTCCGGGAGCAGGCGCGCGAACCACGAGACAACTCCCGAAGACCAGTTCGAACAACAAAAGTCGCAAAAACCTCGAGTTTTTGCACCTCCACCACGCCGATTCCCGCAGAGGGTTGCGCGAGCGCCGCAGAAATCGCAAAAAACCTCGAGTTTTTGCACCTCGACCACGCCGATCCCCGCAGAGGGTCGCGTGGGAACTTTAGAAATCGCAACAAACCATGGGTTTTTGCACCTCGACCACGCCGATCCCCGCAGAGGGTCGCGCGAGCAGGTTAAACATCGCAGTTTTTGCACCTCGACCACGCCGATCCCCGCAGAGGGTCGCGCAAGCACCGCAGAAATCGCAAAAAAAACCCTGGGTTTTTGCACCTCGACCACGCCGATCCCCGCAGAGGGTCGCGCGAGCAGGTTAAACATCGCAAAAAACCTCGAGTTTTTGCACCTCGACCACGCCGATCCCCGCAGAGGGTCGCGCGGGAACTTTAGAAATCGCAAAAAACCATGGGTTTTTGCACCTCGACCACGCCGATCCCCGCAGAGGGTCGATTTTCGTGTAGTGTCGTCGGCACTACCCCGCCGCCCTAAGAAGAGATTTTAACTCCTCGCAAGTCAATTGCACTTGACTCCTTGCACTTGCAACTTGCACTTGACTCCTTGCTTGTTTCAAGGAGTCATTGCAAGGAGTCATTGCAAGGAGTCATTGCAAGGAGTCATTGCAAGGAGTCATGGCAAGGAGTCATTGCAAGGAGTCATTGCAAGGAGTCATTGCAAGGAGTCATTGCAAGGAGTCATTGCAAGGAGTCATTGCAAGGAGTCATTGCAAGGAGTCATTGCAAGGAGTCATGAGAGCCATTGCAAGTTGCAAGGAGCCAAGTGCATGGAGTCAAGTGCAAGTCGCAAGTGCACGGAGTTAAGTGCAAGTTGCAAGTGCAAGGGGCCAAGTGCAAGGAGCCAAGTGCAAGGAGCCAAGTGCATGGAGTCAAGTGCAAGTTGCAAGTGCATGGAGTCAAGTGCAAGTTGCAAGTGCAAGGAGTCAAGTGCAAGTTGCAAGTGCAAGGAGTCAAGTGCAAGTTGCAATCCTTGCCATGACTCCTTGCAATGACTCCTTGCAATGACTCCTTGCAATGACTCCTTGCAATGACTCCTTGCAATGACTCCTTGCAATGACTCCTTGCAATGACTCCTTGCCATGACTCCTTGCAATGACTCCTTGCAATGACTCCTTGCAATGACTCCTTGCAATGACTCCTTGCAATGACTCCTTGCAATGACTCCTTGCAATGACTCCTTGCAATGACTCCTTGCCATGACTCCTTGCCATGACTCCTTGCAATGACTCCTTGCAATGACTCCTTGCAATGACTCCTTGCAATGACTCCTTGCAATGACTCCTTGCAATGACTCCTTGCAATGACTCCTTGCAATGACTTTCATGATGATGATTCCTTGCAATGACACCTTGTAATGACTCTCATGAGAACAACTCAAGTGAACCCAGCGGAAGAACCCTTCGCCATGCTTTCGGGAAAACAACAACACCGTCACCGATTCCAGAAAAGAGGAAAGACAAAAAAAAATGAAGGAAACAATGCAAGGACAAAAGGCCAAAGAATACGAAAAGCAAAACACATAAGCAAAGAAAGCAGGAATCCGGGACCAAAGAGATATTATCCTCTGCTCCCACCCGGCTGCGGCATGAAGGACCCTGCTGATCAAACGCTCCTTTTTGTTGAGCCAAACACATCACCTACACGCACGTGTGATTAATGCAAAGGAGTACTTTCCACCCGGCTTAGCGTCCATGTTATTCACATATTAATGACTATATTACCAGTATATATAGGTTGTATGTAAGCATCCACAACCTGGAAATGCCTCTGACATTGGTCGAAGCTCATAAACCTTGCACAGGTTGACAGCGGCAAGGCGAAAGTTCTCAGACCTTCTCTACTAGAATCACATAGTGTGCTACCATGGAATTGGGACAAAGCAATGCACCGTCAACAAGCGTCGCCCTGATCCCTTGTAACATGCACGCTGTCGATATGGAACACCATGTACGTGGGACAAGCCATGCGTATCAACGGCAGCAAGCAGCGAATGCCGAAGGAGGTTACCACATATTCCCTACAGGCAAGTCTTGAAATGACGTGTGTTCCTCCATACAGGAGCTTTTGGGACCTGGGAGAAGCATGGATGTCTTTCTTTACACCGGGACCCAAAATGGCGGGCGTTGAAAGGCAGTTTCAACAGGGTACCGTTTCAACACCCGTGCGATGGTTGATCTTTAGAGACCTGGGAAAAATAATGCTGTGGCTCAAAGAACCTACCAACATGTTGCCTCGGTAAATGGGCTCAAACCAATCTGAGCCACACCCATATGACATCTGATATATGGCCATGGGTCAAAATTCCGTACCCCCCAGTGAACATCCCAATCCACACTAAAACCCCGACTAAAATGGGTGGTGAATGCACCTACCAGCCAAAATGGGATCCCATGTTGACCCACGGCCATATGAAATGATATGACCCCAACATGAGATCCCATTGGTGTTGACCCACGGCCAAATGATATGACAAAACACGAGCCGAAAGACCGCGGAGTTCGGCGCCTCGCTTGGGGCTGGGCTCCCAAGTCTCCTGCCAGATGTCCCATGAAACTGTCATAGACAGCCGGAACTCGGTGGCAAAATTTGCGAAGCCCTGCCAAAAGTTTAACTTTTAGTGGCTTAATTCGGAAACCCCATTATATAGTTGGAAAAAAGTTAAAGTCCTAACATCCAAGCAAAATGCACCCAAGGGAAATTCTACGAATTGGCCAAAGACCCACCAAAGACCAACATGTCTGTTCTAAGGCCCCCAAACTGGCTGGTTTTCCCTTTGCTTTCCCTTTCAAACCAAGCAAGAGGTACCAACTCCAAAAAACGCCGAGCCACCCATTTGTTGAGATGAACTACAGGGACACCCTTCCAAGACCAGTTTCGAGTGGCTCACAAGAACCCCTCAAAGCCATTGATCCGCCTGTTTCCGGCAACGGCCCCTTCCGCGCGGCTTCAAACGTACTATCTACGAAGCTGCAATAAAACTTGCTGGCCATTTTCAATGGAACTGTCCTTGCTACAAAAAGGGAACTACACTTTTGGTAGAGTGCAGCACTTAGACTTGAGAGAAAATGAAATCGGATTCGAACCGCACTAAAATGGATGCGAAGACTTTGTCCTCCAAGCCGGTCTGTCCCTTATGAACGGACCACTTCCCACTCAAACTTGGAGACCATCTTCAAAGGAATCCGGGGCCAAGCCGGCAAAGGGCTGGGCCTCACTTTGAGTTTGCGGGTGGGTAATTCCAAGCAGGGGAGAGCCTGCAAAGAGGAAGGTTGGAAGTGTCTCCCGGTGTGATCATGCTGGACCACCGCCCACATGCTGCCATGTTCCAAAGTGAAAACATGTCAAGTAAAGCTACAAGTTGTCTTGAAATGGACATGCCAAACTCGTTGACGCACGGACCGAAACCATTTTCTACAGTGTTTCATGGGCCCGTGAAAATGAACCGCTGCACCTTCTGCAGGAATCTGTCTCGCATGGCAGCTCTTAAGTCACAAACCATTTGCGGGAGGCGGTCGCGCATGTGCGTTGCATTGGCCTCGTGCAGAGTGGCCCCTTGTTCTGTGAACCCCAATCTTTGCGGGCTTGGATACCTCTCCTTTACGCGACATGAGGGGCATGTCCTGCTAGCTGAGCTTTCAACTTGGGGACTGAAAGCCGGGCTCCCGAGAAGTTCAGGAGAGAATCCCCGACTTCCATCCACGCAGCACCCGTCTTGTGCCTCGGCCTTGCGCTTCAGCGGACGACCTCAGTGGCACGCACAAATCGTCTATGGCGCAATTTAGCCTCACTCGCACAATGGAAGCTGAGGAAAGGTATATTAATAGTGCGACTGGAATGTTCCTATGGTTGAGCACCTTGCTCACACGTGGCACTGAGAGCAAATCTGTTCGTCACCACGAGCCAGGGTGCTTCACGACAAATGCCCAGTACTACTTTGCCCGTACCATGACTATGTGTTTACTCTCTCTTTTTTTTTATGTACCCCATAACCCCACTCTCGTGATTTAGGCCCTGATACGGGTTTATGTCTGATTTTTGAGAACCCTCGTTTGGTTGGTTTTAAAGGGACGCCAAAAAAAACAAAAACATATTTTTCGGCGGGTTCCCAACACGACAACAAGAGAATTAAGTACCAACCACCACCACTTTTGGTTGTTTCTCCTAAAAAAACATCAACATGAAAACCGCCCACCATCACCGTTTTGGGGGCAGTGTCTGCCTAAAAGCCCCACTGGTCTCCGGGCTTCATCTGGGGCTCCCTGCTGGGCACACGGCTGCGCCTCAAGGCCGAGAAACTCATATCAGGGCACTGGAGGTCTGCTGTCAGATCCCCTAACTTCTAGTGGGTGAAATTCGGAAACCCCCGCACGAAACACTAAAAAGATCTAAAAGATCCAAACCAAAGCTAAGGAACTGGAAACCCCCACCCTGAACTTACAAATATCTAAAAACACACACACACACACACGAAACACTAAAAAGATCGGAAAGATCTAAAAAGCCGGATGCCGAGTATTTGGATTGCGGCTCTATCAGTGCTCCCACGATCCAATGCACTTGCCAGTCTTCCGATCCGGAGATCCGAGGAATGGGTCCCAGCCGGCTCACTCTCAAAAACCCTCCCCTCTACGCCCCTCTACGGGATTCCATTTTGGCAATCAGTGGATAACCACCAGGTAGCCAATGGTAACCACTACCGGTATTTCCTACTAGTAGGTAAACTAGTTGAACCACTATATATTATATAGATAGCGTCAAGTTGTTGCAATTATTAATCTTTCCAACTTAGTTGAACGGGGAAAGCTGCATGCACTGAGGGCATCCAACAGTTTCACGCATCTGTCAAATCGTGATTTGCATGAATGCAACAAGTCCGATGCGCGAGAGACAAATCACATGCTCAATCATCTATGGGACGTAGTTGAATCGGCTGTTGCCTTTGCGAGCGCCGCAGAAACGGTGGAAATCCAGCGGCAGTGCGGCAGTGCGGCCCCGACAACTTCTGCAATGCTTGATCGAAGTGGCACACAGTCAGAATCTCGGGACTTTGGTTGAATCAGCTTGCACTCGATGAAGGCAATTTCTCGGTTGCTTTCTGCGCCCCTGCCAAAAGTTTAACTTTTAGTGGTGTAATTCGGAAAACCCACTATAGTTGGCAAAAAGTTTAAAGTCCTAACATCCAAGCAAAATGCAGCAAAGATTTGGTGGGGTTCAATTCTGGCTCCCAGTTTCCAAATCGCAGCCCAATCACATGTGATTCTGAGCAACTGGCACTGGGCGAGAGGTCCACATGGCGATGCAAGGAGTGCCGCGCGCGTCTGACTGTCCCAGTTGGATTCAAAGGAGAATTGCCTCAGGCTGTTGGATTCTTCTATCCAAACCATTTTGTGTCTTTGTGGAACTCCAACCACCAAACACTAAGAAGTGTTGAAAAGCTAAGGAACCGGATGGGAATTTCAGCATCTCGACCGATCGCAGCACTTGTCTTGAGCCGACGGGGCCAAGCGTCAACAGGCACTCCCGGGTGTGGATGGAACGAGGTCGCGTCAGCCTTTACATGGATTGCTGGTGCCATAGGCAGGGCATGAGAAATGGCATGACCCATACTAGGTACTCCAGATTTGAGAGGTTAGAAAAAGGGTACCGACTTTTTTTTTTCAGGACGTCTAGTTTAGTAGGGGAACTCTCTCAATTAAAAAAGGGGAGAGAAGGGCACCAGGCAGGAGGACCTATCAAATAAAAAATGAAATAAAGAAGAACACAATAAAAACCAGACTCCCAAGGCTCAGACAGAGTTTGCTTGCTGGTATACGTGTCGATTGGCATGAAATGTCAAACAACTTGCCTGAGTGTTGTCGAATTAAACTTGGCACTCCGTGAAACCATCCCAAGCACCAATGTTGATCTTCAACAAGTCCCTTACCAACGCTAAAAGTGCAATGGAAGTGTTGGAAGCTGAGGAACAATCAATCAGTGTACCCATCACACACCCTCAACTTACAACAGCACGAAAACGACAAACAAGACATGCCACAAGCCCACGGTTGTTGTAGATTCCTTGACCCAAGCCTTTGTCAACTGTCGGCAAATCTTGCCCTGGCCCAGATCGCCGTCACCCAGAGAGCTCCGCTGGTCGCTGATCGAAAGCCTCCTGTTTGCCTTGTCTCGAAGGGGCGCTCTGGCTACACTCCGCTCTTGGCCCCAACCAAACACAAATACCTTCAATCTTGGCCCATGAAGATTAAGCCAGCTTTTTCACGAGCAAATTCTATCACCCACATTTAATACTCTTTGTCAATTCATATTGACCATCTAGCGAACCTCGACATGAACACATCATCTTTTGAAGAAAAAAAAAGAAAACAACTGGATCCAAGTCGTCCCACCCGGAGGCCTTCTCTCTCTGCCGTCCCCGTCCAACCCCAAGCGAACAGCGCGCCTCCGCCCGCCGGTGGCGGCGGCCCAGGCTTAGCGCCTTGAGCAACTCGGAGGCCTCCACTTTGCCCACCTACAGCTTCTCAAGGCTGGGCTGGGGAGCGGGAGGGGGGGGAGGGAGGGAGGGAGGGAGGGAGGGAGGGAGGGAGGGAGGGAGGGAGGGAGGGGAGGGAGGGAGGGAGGGAGGGAGGGGGGAGGGAGGGAGGGAGGGAGGGAGGGAGGGAGGGAGGGAGGGAGGGAGGGAGGGAGGGAGGGAGGAGGGAGGGAGGGAGGGAGGGAGGGAGGGAGGGAGGGAGGGAGGGAGGGAGGGAGGGAGGAGGGGGAGGGAGGGAGGGAGGGAGGGAGGGAGGGAGGGAGGGAGGGAGGGAGGGAGGGGGAGGGAGGGAGGGAGGGAGGGAGGGAGGGAGGGAGGGAGGGAGGGAGGGAGGGAGGGAGGGAGGGAGGGAGGGAGGGAGGGAGGGAGGGAGGGAGGGAGGGAGGGAGGGAGGGAGGGAGGGAGGGAGGGAGGGAGGGAGGGAGGGAGGGAGGGAGGGAGGGAGGGAGGGAGGGAGGGAGGGAGGGGGGGGGGGGGGAGGGACGGAGGGAAGGGGGAGAGGAGGGTCACGAACATCCAACACAAACACAGAACACGTGAAAATGAAAACTTTTAAAAAATAGAGAGCAATCTGTTTCCTTCTCCCAGCATTACCATACACCCAGCCCTACCCCGCAAAGAAAGGGAGAGGGGGGGAGCGAGGAAGGGGGCAGGGAGCTTCAGGGCTCCTGCAGTCCCGCCCCTCCCGTCCCCAGCCATGATTCTTGCAAGCATGTTGGATTGGTGGAGTTTGGGGGGCAAAAAGACTGTTACGAATGTCCCTTGGTTGGGTGATTCAGTGGTGTTTAACGGACCTTGAGTTTTTGGTCGACTCAGCGAGGATCGGTGGGGCAAAAAAGCTTGGATGTGCCTTGTTTGCTTGATCAAGGAACACAAAGACCTGGTCTTGACCACCTGTCTACCAAAAAACGTTCTGCTTTTCGGCCTGGCGCTGCCTTTTGCCTCCCTCTGGATGCCTCGATGCCTCTCCGGGCTAGGATCACAGGGATCCTTACATTATACACCTGAACATTGCCTTGTCAATGATGGTTTCCCTTTATTTTGGTGGAAAAAGCCATGTTTCAAATGGGCAACATGTATCTTTTGAGGAGCCCTGTGGGACTTGGGAGGCATTCCTGGGGCCCGGACCGAGCCAGTGGCCCTTGCATTGCCCCCGTACTTGTTATCCAGCTCCTGGCCAATCTTCGGCTTCCCATCCGGTGGGTTTTTTCCTTTTTTCCAAGCCAGGCTAGGTGCTCCAGCAGAGAGGTTAGAATAAGGGTACCACCTTTTCTCAGTTTTGTCTATTTTAGTAGGGGGGTTCCTCCCCCAAAAAGGTTGGTACAAGGGCACTACTGGGGAACCTTGCAGGCATGGGTGGCTCGTTTTCCTTTTGGGTTTTAAAGGAAAACCGAAAGGAAACCGAAGCCTTTTAGGAGGCACCCAAGACAGACGCATATGCGCGCGAGAGTGCACTTGGGTGCATTCCCCCTCGAATGCAAAATGAACAAAGGATTCAAACTATCCATGAATCAAGGAATGAAGGAATGAGTCCAGGGCTTAGCCGGGGTTCACTCATGCACAAAGCAGAAAGCCTTGTCGGGCATTGCGCTAGACTCAATCGGAGTCCAAGGGGCAAAGACATTGGGCAAGGCTTTGAGCCCCAACTTCAGCCAATGACAGCGGATCTGTGCACCGTCATGCCTCGCATTTTTGGAGTGTCAAACCTTTTTGGACCACTCACCTACGAGATCGGAAGAAGCAGGTCACATGAGAAATGAGACGGAAAGACGATCAGTCTTCTGCTTTCTTGAGAACCCCATGTTCAGCCCAATGATCACATGGGCGGCTCGCCTTTTCTTGAGGTTAGCCTCTTTTTGGTGGCAAAGGGAAACACAAAAGGGCCAGCGAAGCCATTTTTGCGTTTTTGGGGGTTCCTGAAAAAGACACGCCCATCGGTCGGTGGAAACACCTGCCTGCCGGAAACAGCTTTCGCTGGCTTCAATCCAGGGAAAGCTTCCGTCTGTTAAGCAGCAGCTCCCCGAAAGAAAAGCAGCCCCAAACCTTGCTCGCTGCAACGACCCCCCTGCAAACAGTTGTTTTTTTTTTTTTTTTTTTTTTTTTTTTTTAAACTTTTTGGGGGGTTAGTGGAAAACACATTTGTTTCCCAAAAAAGTTAAAGTCTAAAGATCCAACCCAATAGCAGCCAAGAAACGGAACATGCGAGCATCGCAAACAGCAGGACTCCGCTATTCTTCGTCTTCCAATCATAGGTGTCCTTTTAGGGGAACTACATGGCCCTGGTACATAATTAAAGCACCATGCTTCCAACATCTCACCAAAAGGAATCTTACTTTTTCTTGCTCGCTCGCGAACTCACGCCCTCCCTCACTGGCTTTCTGACCGCCCACTCACTTTCAATCGATTTAACGCCACCAAAAGGGAAAAGGAGAACGGCTCGTTGCCTATTGGAAACTGGGACCCACTGAGTAAGTGGTACCATTTGCGCAAATGGAGGGTGCTTCCAACATTTCAACAACCACCCAGCTGGCCATCCAGCCCGCACACCCACCCACCAACGAACCAACGAACCAACGAACCAACGAACCAACGAACCAACGAACCAACGAACCAACGAACCAACGAACCAACGAACGAACGAACGAACGAACGAACGAACCAACCAACCAACCAACCAACCAACCAACCAACCAACCAACCAACCAACCAACCAACCAACCAACCAACCAACCAACCAACCAACCAACCAGCAACAAGACAACCCATCCAACACAACCCAACCAAACCCATCTCAACCAAACCCAACCAACAAATGACCCAACTAATCAACCACCCAATGACTGAACAACCCAACGACCCAACTAATTAACTATCCCCACCCACCCACCCACCCACCCACCCACCCACCCACCCACCCACCCACCCACCCACCCACCCACCCACCCACCAACCAACCAACCAACCAACCAACCAACCAACCAACCAACCAACCAAACCTCCGTGCATCCCACCAGGCAAGCAAGCAAGCCAGCAACGACACCAACTTGGCAACCCAAACAACCCACCCACCCACTCAACCAAGCAAGCAACCAACCAAGCAGGCAGGCAGGCAAGCAAGCCAGAAACGACCACCCACCCGCCAACCCACCCACCCACTAACCCACTAACCCACTAACCCACCAACCCACCCACCCACCCACCCACCCACCCACCCACCCACCCACCCACCCACCCACCCACCCACCCACCCAACCAAGCAAGCAAGCAAGCAAGCAAGCAAGCAAGCAAGAAACAACCAAAAAAAACAAGCCAAGCAAGCAAGCAAGCAAGCAAGCAAGCAAGCAAGCAAGCAAGCAAGCAAGCAAGCAAGCAAGCAAGCAACGACCACCCACCCACCCACACCACCCACCAATCAACCAACCAACCAACCAACCAACCAACCAACCAACCAAGAAAGCAAGCAAGCAAGCAAGCAAGCAAGCAAGCAAGCAAGCAAGCAAGCAAGCAAGCAAGCAAGCAAGCAAGCAAGCAAGCAAGCAAGCAAGCAAGCAAGCAAGCAACCACCCACCCACCCAAGCAAGCAAGCAAGCAAGCAAACAAACAAACAAGCAACCACTCACCCACCCACCCAACCAAGCAAGCAAGCAAGCAAGCAAGCAAGCAAGCAAGCAAGCAAGCAAGCAACCAACCACCCAACCACCCAACCACCCAACCGACCAACCACAAGGGAAGGATGAAATACAACATCTAGACTATATATATATATACATAGATCTAGTATCGATGCCCGGACCCACGACCCCCTTCTCCCCAC